CCATACTTCACTGCGCTGGGTTAGTGTGGGTTGTTGGAGGGGAGGGGAGCATAGATTTTACTGAATTTCCCTCTGTTGATAACGTGTTTCCGCAGCCTATAACACCTGTTTTCTGCACTGTGGCTGCCCATCCAAGCACTGTCTAGGCTCAGTTTTGCTTGGCTTCTGAGGTCTGCAAAGTTAGGCGCATTCCGTATATTTTTTTTTTACTCTGATTTTAGCTTTTTTTTCGGAGGCGAGAACTGGCCATCGAAGTAGCCTATATTATATTATGTGGGAATTTATAGTCTCCAAATAATCTAAACGCATGTTTATAAATTTGGTGGACTCGAAGAAAAATCCAACGCAACCATTGGGAGAACATGCGGTCTCCAAATATGCAGGTGTCAGGGTCTGGATTGAATCCACGATCTTCCTGCATACCAGCCGAAGGAGATAACATCTTGACATCTCAGCGCTCATATAGGATTACATGTATATAGTCATGCATGCATTTTTTTTCCAATTGTTCAATGGGGTTTGAAGTCCTTTACTTGCATTGTTGCTGAGCTTGTCAATAACAATCCACGAAATAATGTCGTTCAGATTTTCCCCTGCCTTTATTAAGGCAAGTTTAGCAAACTTGGATATGGATTCTTAGGAGCACATTGTTAAAATGTTTACTTCACAGTGACCCATTACGGCCACAATTTGAGTGGTGCGAAAGTTAATTTGCTACAATGTGTAAATTGCTTGCGGATGTGAAGCTCACAGCCATAACCATGATTTTTTCCCAATCATTTTTCAATTTAGAGTGAAATAATGTACAACTCGCCGGTTCTGATGTTGAGCAGTATTGAGCCGATATAGCATTTTACGGATCGTCTCCGATACAGATAACTAAGCGATTCGTTTCTCTTTCTGTTGTGCAATGTAACCGGCTACACATTGCTGAGGCCCTGTGTGGGCCTGAACGAAGGGGAAAAGCACGTGTGAACCTTCCTTTCCATGTCTCCACGATTCGTTTCGTACTCGCATCGCCGGCCCCCAAATACCTGACGCACTATTTATTACAAGTCGCTGTGCATTAAATAGCCTAGCCTGACCCTGACGTGCTTGTGCTGTCAGCTGCTCTAGTTCAGAGATGCGTTATTTACGCTGCATGGTAGAGATGCCCGTGTGATGTTGCTATAAAAAGGGTCAGCCGAGCCAAGTGAAACCATACCTCTGTGTGCGTCGCATTAATCTGTGTGGGTTTAATTTTTTTGTTTGCGTGCGTTTTTTACAGTTATTTTTGGGCGTACTATTTTGCATCATGTCACGAGGCTGAAATTTCAAAATGTATTGCAGAAAAAAGTGGGCTATTGCCCCACATTAGAGAATGCCCTCTGGAAAAATAACATGGCATATACTTCTGGGATACATTCAATTACATCTTATCCACTCTAAGTGGTGGTGCATTTTCTCAGATGGCTCAGTGCACAGGCGTTCATTGCAATACAAACTGATTTTCATTATTGCGTAAAAAATATATAATTTTTCGCATGTTTTTAATGCATTCATTCACGAGGGTCATATCATCAACTTTCTACACTTGAGACTCCAGTTTAATTATGGGTTCTTGCCCAGATTTGGCTGTCAGAATCAGCTAGTAGTATGTCAGAGATCTTTGTGACATTTTATTTGCCTCCCCCACCAAGCAACGCGGACCAAACACTTTTTAAGTTTCCATTATAAATGCAATTGACCAAAATGCTGGACCCTTAGCATAAGTGCTCCACATGGCAGAAAATGGAGAGTTTAGTTTAAACCTCTCGTCATGGAGGTAAGCAAGCTTGGATGCCTGGGCAAGGTGTGCCCAATGAGACTGAATCGTTCCCTTCTTGCGTGTATGGCGTTATATTCAGGAGCTTATTGCCAATGTCGAGGTCGACCAGCCACAATGTGGGGCTTCAGGAGTGTCGTTTTAATTTTCCGCGGTTGAAGGAGCACAGACCACCACAGTGGTCTACTTCTGTACACTCTTTGTTTGGATTTCACAGGCCATTTATGAAGATGTGCGCATCAGCCTTGATCTGATAAAGTTCATGGTACACTCGTATCATGGAGTAATGTCTAAGCTAGGAGGCATTCTGTTTGAGGGGTTTATTCTGGATGTCCACTTGAGAACCTGTGAAATCTGGAGGTTGTCTAGAAAAGTTCCGATCATAAAACGATGTACACCTGGTCAGAAATATCCCAAGAAAGGCCAAGAAAGCGATGGGCAGATGACATGAGCAAATGGCCTGGGATGCAGATTAACAATGCAGTGAGACTGGCAGAGAATGAAGATAAATATCGCAAGGTGCTGCACCGCCAACCTTGTGGAAACAGTTTTTAGTTTCAAGTTTCTTTCGTTTTTATCAGGTGACAACTTAGAGACCAGCAGGAGTCTCACTTTCAAGAGTGACATGGAGCATCAGGTTGCCAGTAGCTGGCGACTTTTACTATGTACAATCCTAATTGAGTAGTTTTGCAGGTGACTTTCTATCTTGGAAAATGTGTACATTAACGCCAGCACACACAAATAGCCTACTCTTGAGAATGCCAATGAAGCAGATTAGGCGTCGGCAAGGTAAGGTAAAAGTTAAAAAGTAAAAACAACGAGCCTAGCTTTACCCTACCTTTTACCCTTACCACAATACAATCTCTCTACCCTACTTTTTACCCTTTAGCAGGTAAGGTAAAAAGCAACGAGCCTACCTTTACCCTACCTTTTACCCTTACCACATACAAATTACCCGATTACAGGGTAATTACTGGGGTACTACTACACATGAACAAGGTTTATAACAGGTAAATGCTGGGTAGAGCGCTTTATTCATATAGAATACTCTCAATGATTCCAATTTTACACGCTTGTTGTCGTTGTCGTATCCTCAAATTTTGTAACTCAATTTTAACCCACTTCCCAATATGGTATCGACTGCAAACTTGGTATACTTATGTCATGCTGATGACAATACTATATTCTATCATAAAAAAATATATATTTTTTTACATTATTTTTTATATGTTATGTTTCGGCTTGGGTCTAATTGTCCACGCCTAACTGACGTTGGCTGTAAGCTTCGGGGCCACTTCCTGGAGTCGTGGAGTTCTGCCATTACTAGTACATTTAATAAAAGCGTGTTTAAAAAACTTTTTTTAATTGTACTTATTAAATGGAGGCCAAGGACTGCGCCACCGAGCTTTTAGCGTTAAACAAGGAACCGTATTTACCGGGTAATACTTGGCGCTACCTTTACCCTACCGGGTAATTGTTCCGAGCTACCTTTACCCTGTACCCTTTACCTTACCCCTTGGCATGTCGACACTTTTACCATTTACCTTAACCCTTTTACCCGGTAAAAAGGGTAAATTACCTTATCTTGCCGAGGCCTAAAGCAGATGGCGCTTAGTATTATTTAGGTTATTACACCCGCAGTGATAATCATGGCACCGGCTAGAATTTAACCGTGAACCTCTGTAACAAGCGGCGAAGACACTGCCGCTTGGCCATGTCACCGCCCAATCGGGACGGCACTAGACGGAACAATAGCAATGTGAAGATTAAATCTATTTGTATGCTCAAGATACGTGCAGTACGATGGGATGGTTCCTGATTCGCGTATGTTTATACGCAAGTGGTTACGCAGTGCCCCCCACACACTGTGCCAAGAAGCTGGTGACCCCAGTTTCACATCCTGCACTGCCTCCCCCCCCCCCTTTTGACCAACCCGCACTGACCAGCTTGGTGAAGTGTGTTATGTTCTGACAACCCCCATAACCCACATGGCGTTGGGGAGCCTAAATTAAGAGTTGGACTGGCAAAAGGCTGCCGATTACATATTTAAGATTTGTCAAAATAATCTATATGACGATTAAATTTGAACACTTCCGTAAATTCACATCCCTGCACATACAAGTATATAGTCAGCCGCACCGCCATTAGCATAAGTTCTCCACATGCATCACAAGGGGAAAAGGAAAACATCAGTCATTAATTGTAACCCCGCGTCGTCTGCTTACTGTACTGTGGAGTTGAAAAGTGCCCCTTACAATGGAGAAAATGTGTTAATTTCCTTGCTTTGACATTCTAATTGCCCCCTTTTGTTTTTTATTTGGGGTTTTGTGGGGAGATTTTTGTTGTGCATATAATGGTGGTGCTGCGCGCATTTCCTTTGTGCGAGCAACTTCAGTCAAAGCTACTAAGCCCGGAATATGTAACATCAGGGGGGAAAAACCAGACAAATTATGCACGCTGTTACGTATTCGACTTCTTTTTAATGTACTGCACCTGGTTTTCAGAACCAGGATTTTATGGGCCCTGTCTGTTGAAAACAGATAAAATGCTTACAGAACAATCTGCTCTAATTATATTTTTGAATGTAGTTAAATTTACATTTCTGTGCAGCAGTGATTGATACATGTGGCCACTGTGTGCTGCCTAAAAATATAGACTCTGGATGGTGACTAAAGACTGAACCGGCACCAGTGTGTTTTTGGGTTCCAATTATATTCCAGCCACACTTGATGAAATCGGATTCTTAAGTGCAACGAGTTCATGGTTTCAGTTTAGTCACCAATGATTGCATAAAACCCCTATTCAATTTGGTTTGTTACTTAGTTTGGTTTGATTGACATGTGACTATCACTCATTGCGGGGAATAAATGTGTCCCTATTGTGGATTAAGAGGCATACTTAAGTGATGAAAGAAATGATCCTGTCATGATGAGGTGTGCATACATTTGTATTACTTAATCTGTAAAGTATTCTTTCCTGGGATAAGGTCAGGTTATAGTTTAAATGTGTGATTAATAAACCGACGTAATACTAACAGAATTGTTATCGAACAAAACTGCTGCATTGCGTCTGTAACAATTAACGACACAAAGTGACCGCCGACCTATGAATGATTATGACTTGATTTTCATCTGGCGGAGCTGTCTGAATCCCTGTAGCTGACCGCTGTGGTGTGTGTTGGTGCTGTTTCCCACAGACATAATGGCGAGCCCAGCCAAGGAGAACTATCGGATGAGAAGCTACAAAAACAAGGCGCTGAATCCGCAGGAGATGCGGCGACGACGTGAGGAGGAGGGCATTCAGCTGCGCAAGCAAAAGCGCGAGCAGCAGGTGCAAGCTTGTGTGCGCCCTTGTCCCCCGCTGGGGTTTGTCATCCCATGTGCAAGATGGACACAGTGATGTAATGTACTTGGGACGCCGCATTTTGTAGTGTCAACTTTTCTTCAGAGCAGTGTTCTTCATTGCAAGGCCCGTCGGCCCCTGGTGTTCTTGAATGCGGTCACTGACGTGCGGCCCCCGAGAATATACATCTGTCAACACCCCCCATCATTGTGCTGTCAAACCCAATGGTTTCAAATGTGTGGCGGTCTTCACACTGATGTCTTATCGGCGAAAGTGGCCCCTCTCCGAAAATAATTGAAGACCACTGCTTTCAAGTGATGCAATTTTAATGTTAAATCTCATGTAAAAGTTTGTTATGTGATGAGACTGGCCCATACCATCCTTTGACTTTACTGTAGGGTATATACCCAATGAAACCTGTATTCCCACATAAGCTGAAACCAACAGCGAAGCATGTCATCTGGCCTACGTTCAGTCGTGCTTGTAGTTTTTAGTGTCAGGGTTGTGATGACGTATGTGTTTCTCTCCCCTGTCAGCTGTTCAAGCGTAGAAATGTGGACAATCCCAATGAGGATGTCTCCATGGACAATGGAATCCAAGATCCCTCCGTCACCACCACCATACCTGGGGTAAGACTCCCTTCCCTTCTGCCCTCCCACCCAACTGGCACGCTGCCCCCTCATTGGGTCACGTGCCCTCGTGTGATAGTGGCGTTGCACTCAAAGAATGAGCCATTGGAGAGAAGTTGACACTGGCATTGAAGTGTCTTCCGTAGTGAGAGTGGTGATTTTATTAAGAGTAGGGTTTTTTTAAAGAGTAGGATTCTTCTAATGGCGGCTCATGGCCAAATGTGGCCTGTGAAGACTTTTGGAGTTGCCTGCCAAGACAGAAGCAAATGATAGCGTTGAAAGTTGAGCAAAACATAGATGGGATTTAGCCTTGAGACAAGAAACAAAGATAAACAATGGAGGTTAGAGACCTGGAGAGGTGACAAATCATCAAGTGGTCACATGTTACGGACTATACAAGGTGCCGATGTCATGTTACACCATGGCATCCATCCACTTGGCCCGCTGGAAAATATAGTTGAGGGAATCCCTGGCTTAGAAGTTGCCTCTGTGAAATGTGAGACGATAAAATGGAGGAGAAATTTTACCATTGTTTAGTAGTAATGTTTTCCTCCATGGTGGTACATACTTAATAATATGAACTCAAAAATCGAGGAGATTATAAGCTTCACTTATAACTCGTGACATATTCTCAAGCAAATGTTACTTATAAAGAACAAAGCACATTAATAATGTGGTCATATTCTTCTTTACATTGGCCACCTTGAATATATGCATCTGGTAATGCCTGTCCACGTGATATCCGTGGGTCGGCAGGTGACGTAGTAATAACGCTGCATCGTTTTAATTTCAGGAGTTTTCGGTCATCACGATTGAAATGCTGCAGATGATTTTTTCTGACGACCCCGAGCATCAGCTTGCCGCCACGCAAAAGTTCAGAAAGCTTCTCTCTAAAGGTAAGCGTATCGCAACCGGAGGTGAAGTCCATTGACGTTTTGGTTCCAAGACCAAGGTGGTTTCCATGACCTGGGATTGAGGGAGGAGTGGCTGAGAAGTGTAGTTCTATTTTATGTTTTGTTACAACGCTGGAATCGCAGTCACCAAGAACATCTTTGGAAATGGGAAATGTTCTCTGTGTGAACTCAAGTTGAAATCCTTTTCTGCCAGATGTTTTTTTTACATTTACTATTCTTTAAAAAGTGATTTAAAACTGCTCTGATATAAATATTGAAACGCTTGCATGGTTTTTTGACAGTACTATTTACAGTACTGTTTGGGTTTAAAAGTATGTATTTAAAATAAATAAGATAAAAAAAATTGTAAACGTACAATAAAATGTAAATATTTGACCAATAGCCACGAAACTTTATAGTGTTGACTCCCATACTTACAGATAAAGCTGCTATTCTCAACATTGGTTATTACCAATACAAATGTTCATAAAATCAAGGGACAAATACATTGACTACGTTCATCATTAACACCGTTTTATACCAGAAAAGCATCTGATAGGCTAGAACTCCAGACCATGGTTCTTCTCCTTGAGAAGCAACCTCTGAAATGAGAATCGCACAGCCGTTCCACTCATTGCTGCAAAGAAACATGACGCAGGAAACGGCAACGTGGAGCAGCGTATATAGCATCTTGACATGTACGTGTGTGTGAGAGACGTGCAGGGAGCAGTGGCATAGTGGTGGGTGAGCGCACTGCTACGAACCTGGCGACCCGAGTTTGATTTCTGGCCACGGCTAACATCGGTGGACAGTGACAGCTGAACCAGTCCCTCGGCCTCCCTGTTGCCAACTCTGCCTTAAATGAGTGCTCGGTGTGGTGTATATGTTTTAAAACGATGGAGACAAAGGTGGCCGGGTGTAGTGCTGGCCACACCACCACCTCGTGCACCGTTCTTCATAGGTGCTTGCTTAACGGCGCTTGTCCTGAGCCTGCGTAGGCTATACGGGGCGGGCGGGGGTCTTTGTGTGACATGTTCCCCTTCCCCCTCTACACAACTCAGAGCCGAACCCCCCGATCGACGAGGTAATCGTCTCGCCCGGCGTGGTGCCTCGCTTCGTTGAGTTCCTCAAGAGGAGGGAAAACTGCACGCTGCAGGTTAGTCGCACGTATTCCTCTGTGCATGTTGTGCACACCATCGCGCGCAGCTGGCTAGCGCGCAGAACCCTCCAAATACACAGGTTGCTGGTTCAGTCTCCCGGCGTGGTTGTTGAAACAGTGGCGCAAGCTTCTTAAATCCCCCCCCCCTCACCCTCTGTCCGTTTAACATGTAGGCTTTTGCGACCAATATTATCTTTTTTTGGGTTAGATCACATATATATGAATGTGTCGTTAAACCCGCCACCACCCGACGCAGCCAGTCACGTGAAAAAAATATTCCAATTTGTGACTGGTTCAGCACACCGGTGTGTTGGAGAGTAAACTCACAACAATTACAATTCGAGTACGACGTTTCACCGGTAATTGCAACAATCAGCCTCATCAGGCGACAGCCAGATTTATGGAGAAATCCTCCTGTTTGAGTCCTCTGTCCACCAAGCAGTTTAAATCGTTAAGCCACAGTCGCTCAGCAGGCCATGTGTAGTGTGGTAAATTGTGGGGAATCCCACCACTTTGAAGACCTGGCCAACATGAAGAGTCGACCAAAATTCCCTCCAGGGAGGCTCTCTCATGCGTCGACGAGTGGAGGCATGAGCAAGTAGTTACGGGTCTGCACCTGTACCTTCACATCGCCGTGATCCCCAAATGCTTTGGAGGCACGGCATGGTGGGTCATGCACCTTTGCCGAGACTTCCAAAAACCCACTGCTCTGCAAGGTGACCAGGAGATGGCACTAGAGCAATTGGATTTGTATCATGTTTGAGTAGCCTTCTGAGTGTTATCCCTGTGTGTGTGTTGTATAACAAATATAACTTGAGGTCTGTATGGAGTAGACAGCTGCTCCACTTTATTGTGGACCCGAGATGTACTCTCTATACAGCCCGTGGCGATCACGCAAATAACTAATAGCAATTTACAATGATTTAGGGTATTTGGCATTCTATCGAATTTAGGAGAAAATAGGGATTTTATCATGCTTAACGAAAGGTGCACGCAAAGAACATGTTGGTTTTTGTAGACACTTAAACTATGGTCTGTCCCAGGCTTGCCAACTTGAGTTTGAAACTTCAGTCATGAGAGAAAAACTTTAAACATTTGTCGCATGTGCTGCAATGGCATTGCTGTAGTGATGCATTAAAACGTATTGCAGTAATGCCGCAGTGATGTCAGCAGAGCACGCCTGATTAACTTTTTCTCATTAGCAAGGATCCAAACTCGTCGGGCAGGGCCACAAAACCTTACTCTGACTATTTCAAGACCATTTAATTTATTGGGTTGATTCTTTTTATAATTTATGGGTCATTTAAAATATTTTTTTATGCACACCCAATGTTTGGCTTTACAAATCAGAAGTGTAATGGGTACACTAAAGTTAGTTGATCGGCTGGTCGTATTTGGTGGGGGTAAAGTTTGGGGTACCCTCTTGAGGGGGCTCTCTAAAAGTTCCCTCCAGCAGATGGCCCTTCTGCCAGCAGCAGTGGCGTGAGCGAGTCGTTGCAGGGGCTGTGCCGGCTTGCCGTACGCGAGGTGAGAGGCCGTTCACAACGATGTCGTGTCCACTCCGGTGTCGCCCGCAGTTCGAGGCTGCGTGGGCGCTGACTAACATCGCCTCGGGGACGTCGACGCAGACGCGGGTGGTGATCACGGCCGGCGCCGTGCCCATCTTCATCACGCTGCTCTCCTCTGACTTTGAGGACGTGCAGGAGCAGGTAGGGCAGGGTTCACATGTCGTCGGCTTTGCCTGGATGAACTTACTAGGGGTTGGTGCCCGGAGAATGTGGCTTGTGTGTTTCCTACGCCTGCCTGCCATGCCCGCAACCTCAGGCCGGCGCGTTGACAATCGCGACTCACGGCTGCTCCTGTAATGCACCAGGCGCGGCGAGCGATTGTAACCCCAAACACATGGACTGCTCGCTCACCGCACGTGCGATCGCTTGTTACTCACCGCGTACTCCTGCATTTGCCTCCCACCACGCTTACTCGTGTACCGCTTGGCGTACTCTCCACTCCACAGGCTCGCTTAGTGCGCACTGCATTCGGAGGCACTTGCTGCTCACTGCACATTGCTAATACTTGCCATTCATCAGCAAGGCAGTAGAAAAAATATCCATTATTGGTGGCCTCTAAGCCTTTGTTGGAAAATGTATTTTATAATATTTACTAAATGCAGTTTTAATTTGTAGCTGTTCCTCATTCATGGGTGGTCAATGACTAGGTGTTTACCTGACCATTAACCTCATCACATAGTTTCGCTAATGGACACTCCTCTGCGTCTGGCTATGAGCAACAGTGCAGACCGCTTTTGCGCTAATCCAGTGTCCTAATGTTGCCTCGCTGTCATTCCTGGAATTCTCACAGCACAAAGCAGGGTTTCATTAACCACACAATGCGATTTAGACCAGCACCTCACGTTTTTCTACTCTGCAGAAACAACTTGGGATGCTCAAGTGTGTTTGCTCTCATTCCCATTACTGTGTTTTTGTTCCCCAATGGGTGGGGAAATATTGCTCTCGAATCTCTTACTGCAAGTGTTGTCTTAAGTCCTCCCTCAAGTGGCAGTAACTAAGAATTCCAACCTAGCGGAGGAAGTGTTTAGGTTGAGTGCCTTTTTAAAGGTCGTCGAGTGTCACCGCAATACGTTTTTGCTGTGTGGTGATTCCTTGTAGATAGCATACAAATATAGGCCATATATCATTACTATAGGTCGGCCACAGTTACTGATGGTGGGTTTTAACCCAAGTCGAGTTTAAACAGCATATAATAATCAAAATCGGCACACCCAGTGTGCCCGAGAGGAAAGTTTCAAATTGTTACATAGACCAGCCGCATCATGGATCAGAAGTATGGACACAAACAAAAAACATGGAACGAATGCTAAAAGTATGCAAATACAAAATAAATGTTCTCAGAATTGCATTTAGAGAGAAAAAGAAAGGAATGCCATGGATGAGTGAACAAATGTAAATCGGGAGACATCATTCCTCCCCGCACTGTCCCCACCGCCCCTTGCCGCCCCTTGCCGCAGGCCGTGTGGGCGCTGGGAAACATCGCTGGAGACAGCCCCGAGTGCCGCGACTACGTCCTCGAGTGTGGCATCCTCGCGCCGTTGCTGCAGTGAGTGCGAAGAACGGTTGCCCCTGGTACCCCTCCGTGTGATTTTATAACAACACAACGCCCCATCCACAAATACGAAGGAGGCGTCGCGCGGCGACTACATCAGCCGTACGAAAGAAGTTGATTGTGGCCGTCTGTTAGTGATAATGACATTTATTACTCACCAGATTTTGCAGACAAGTCAAAAACTTAGAGGCGTGGAGCCAAGCTCAGGGCTGCTCGCAAGCCTGACCAAACAGATAGGCCTTTAGATGTTTCTTGAAAGTCGGTGCATTTGATGTTGCGGATGTGCAAAGGGATAGTTCCACGCCTAGGGGGCGACAACAGAGAACCAACGCAAGGCTGTAACAGTTCGAGACCTCTGTGTCCGAAGCAGATTTTGAGTGACGTTGCTGCATAGGGTGCTGCATAGGGTTCTACCTTGAGCTTCAGTGCAAGGCGAGAGTAGCGAGGTGTGGTGGGGAACCGGTGGTGAAGGCACAACGACAAAGGCAGGCGATTTTATCATTTGTCTTGCTAGCAAAAGGGAGCCAATAACGAGTACGGGAGAGCGTTCGCTAATGACCGCACACAAAAGACTTGGAGTTACATTTGGTTCTGCGCTAAAATTGGAAAAATGCCGACTTTTGAAAATTAAAGGTTTGGGTTTGCTACATGCATTACTGTGGCATACTGGGTGAGAGAGTTCTGCCCCCATCCTCTTACTATGTGGATGAGAGGTCACTTGAAGTGATCTCAGAGTTAACTCTGGTATCCGCTTTCTTTCGTGTTTTGTATTGTTGTTGAAACTTTCTGACCTCGTGCCCGTACTGGACATCGTATGTCAAAAAGAGCTTCGTAGCTTAGCGGATTCCTCCGGCATAAATAAAGATTCCGATTTTGAAGAAGCCGAAAGGGGGAAAAAAGCAGAAGTGTGAACCGGTCTTGGTCCTGCCTCTCTCCACGCAGGCTGCTCACCAAGTCGAACCGCCTGACGATGACGCGGAACGCGGTGTGGGCGCTCTCCAACCTCTGCCGTGGAAAGAACCCCCCGCCCGACTTTGCCAAGGTGACAGTGCCGCCTGACGGATGTAGTTTCGCTTGCGTGCAAACACGGTGTTGCCCTCGAAATTCCGGGCCCTGTGCTTTGCCCAGGTTTTCTTAACAAAAAAGCCCATTTGTTTCCGTGAAGACCAATTGTAGACAATTGTTATTGCTATGAATATAATTTCAAACCATTGCCAATGACCAAATCACCTGGAATGCTCCCCCATCTCATTAGATCTCGGGACACAGCACGGTTGAGCCTGCCTAGTGCTTGGATGGGTGCTCCCACATTTATGTACCCCACTTTCACCAAACCCCCCCACAACCCACACAGTGTGGGGCAGCCGTCACCCAGGAGTGGACCGACAAAAGGGCTGTCCGTGCATGTACAAACCATTGCTGCAGTGTGCAACCACAGGCAACGTCCACCTGTCTGCCTGTGTTCGTGCGTCTGCACACTCGCGCTTACTACCCTCCTTGTGCGTCCTCCCCTCCCCCAGGTGTCTCCGTGCCTGAACGTGCTGTCACGCCTGCTGTACAGCACCGACACGGACATCCTGGCGGACGCCTGCTGGGCGCTCAGCTACCTGTCGGATGGCCCCAACGACAAGATCCAGGCGGTGATCGACTCGGGCGTGTGCCGTCGCCTCGTTGAGCTGCTCATGTGAGTTTCCACTGCTCCCCCCCACCCCCACACCCCCCACCATGTGATGCATAATTTTTTACTCTTTACGAATCTGTTTGAAAGCGTGAATGCAATCGCTCTGGCCGTCGGTCTGTAGCACGGTGTCACGATTGCCCATAACGATGATCCAATGTGGACGAACCTGCTGTATGAAGCTGTTGCTCTATTTGGGACTTAACCGATAGAAACTGGCCAATTGGTCAGAGGTTTGCCCAATCCTTAAAAAGACAAAGCAGAGCAAAAATAGCACTGGTTGCATATATTCAAACGTGCTTTGTCCCGTCAGCTCAATAATTCTGAGCACAATTGCACATTTGAGAGCGTTATGCAACACATGCGTGTATACGATAAATTTTTTACCATTTCGTCACGAACGCAAAATTACCAGAAACAGTCATCTGAAAGGTGTAATGTGTAAAATGTTATATGTTTATTGAATTGAGGAAGCTTTTACATGCTTGGCAAAAGACAATGGGATTGTATAATACAGTAAAACCTCGGATTGCAAGTAACTTGGTCTGCGAGGGTTTTTCAAGACAAGCAAACATTTTTAATAAAAATTAATTTGAGCGAGGTCTTGCAATGAGAGTACTGTAGTATGTACAGTATACGCTTTGTCTGCCGAGCATCACGTGATCACAACTGAGCCGATGGTTCTTCTCTCTCTCGCTGCGGGATTGTGGGTAATCGTCTCCAATGCTCGGTCTCAGCGTGCCTCACTCGTATAGTCAACATCCGTGCGAGCGTACAGTATACTTAATTTGGAGCTTTCGTGACTGCAGGAATTATTCTTAGGTTCTTTCGGTAAAGTCACGTGACTTTACCGAAAGAACCAAAGAATAAGTACAGTATACTGTTTACTATAGTGTTGTGACCACGAGTGTGTGCGTAAAGCATTTTTTTATTCTGTGTCCAAGTGTAGTGACTGTTCTTTAGTAACTGTACTGCAAGTGAAAGTCGTCCTACACAATAGCCCTCCTCTCCTCTCTCTCGTCTCCCTCACACCAGCCACGATTAAATTTAATTAATGAATTTGATTACGTTTTATTAAATTTGAATAATAAAAATATAAAAAGGTATTTTGTATTAATCATTTTTATATGAATACAGTATTTTTGGGTTGTGGAACGAATTATCTGAGTTTCCATTGTTTCTTATGGGGAAATTCGCTTTGATATACGAGCGCTTTGGATTACAAACACGTTTCCGGAACGAATTATGCTCGCAATCCAAGGTTTTACTGTAGTTAATAATACAGTTAAGTCTTCACTATTTGTGAGCGGATTAACACGGGTCGCGGATTAACTGCACTCATTAGCACTTTTTTAACCTGCTCACGCGGGTTCTGTATGTAGCAGTTCTCCACTGCCCACAAGGGTCAATGACCCAGTGCCCACGTGCCTGTAAACCCATTGCTTTAGGAAGCGGTAGTATGCAGCCTTGTGTACACGTGTTTCACTTGAACCTTGTTTTAGTTTCACCTGGGCCACCCCTCTGCCCCATGACCCCCATTTACTCTGGGTTATCGAGTGTTGACGACAATAATAATGGGTAGAAGACATTTTCACAACACCCTGTGTCTCACCTACTGCTGTTCCCTGGAAAAAAGTGCTCATTGTTGCTAAATAGTCTCGCTCTCTAGAAGGTAGTCTTTTAAAGGCCACACTTGAAATCTGATATCGAGGTAAGCGACTAAAGTTGTTCATGTGCTTGTACAGCTCTTTGTCACTCTAAATACTTACGATATTATTCTGCGACTGAGCGTTACATCCTTGTTAGATGCAATTTGCCCTCGTAGAAATCGCTCGCGCTACGCCACGATTCTCTTGTTGAGCCGCCTTGTCCATTGATTAGTTGACAGCTTGCAGGGAGGGGGAGCCCTTCTGTGTGGTGTAGGGCATAGGGGTTGTTTCCTATCGACTGGAAGTTGGATGGGAGGACGTGAGCAGACTGGGCCCACCTTTAAGTAAAATAGTCGAGCATGCCGGCGCCGCACTTCATTATTTATTTACCCTGGAAGGTTTTTTTTACATTTAAAAAATTTCCCTGACCGGGTTGCTACTTTGATGTGCGATGCGCATTGATCAGGGTTGAATTAAGGTGACGCTATAGGGGTGCCGTGGAGTGACACAAAGCGGGATGCGGAGGGAACGGCTGGGACATGGCGTTCCTGCGAGAACGCGGCATCTCGGCTCGGATGAAAAGGATTTCCAAAGCGCAGATCCTGCCGCCTCTATTCACACACAGACCCTGGCTTGTAGACCAGACTGTGCCTTGAATTGGCAATCGTGATATTTTAGTTGTAAAATCCCAATTAGCGGGTGGTTTGCGTAACAGTTTATCGATTTGAAATTGATTGCTGCGCTCACGGGTATGTAGGCTGAAATGTGCAACGATCTATTATTTAAGATTTTAGCAAATAATACGGAAATTAATCCTTTGGGATAAATAAATGATGCGGAACAGGCTGTGACATCTTGTCCGTTAAGGGAGCCTCCAGTGTGTTTGTGGATTCTGAGGCTTGTGTCAGAAATTCTTTGGAGATGAGGATAGGGGATGCTCTGCATTGTAGCAATGTTGTGAGACATTTCCAAGCGGAGTCGCTTGTACAAAGTGTACGGGAAACCATGTGCAGATGCACATGCAAATATGTGCGCATGCATATGCACCACGCATAAAATATTGTAATATACGCGTGCATAAGACATTTGCCTGTTGGGCCAAATACCGACTCTGGCTGTCGCCTGATGATGCTGGTTGTTATTACCGACGTCGTACTCAAATTGTAAATGTCGTGGGTCTATTGAACGAGTAACGAATTGGCAGGTTTTCTTTACGTGACGAACCTTCGTAATTGGCTGTATAGGGTGGTGGCAGATTTAATGACACATTTTTATTTACGAGATCCAACCCTAAAAAAAGCTCTGGATGAAATGGGCTGCAAAAACCTACGTGTTAAACTTACACTGAGGTGTTATGCCAATTGGAATTTAAATCCGAATTGGTATTTTATCAGAGACGAAAACTGGAGAATGTTGCTCCCTTGGCCTCTCTCTTTGTCTTCATTAATATCTCTCTTCTGGCTCTGTCTCTTGGTCTCTCTTTTCCTTTTATGTTTTTAAAACCAGAGCTGCTGTCATTTCTGCTTTTGTTTCCCCCTTTTTTTACGCTTAACGGTAATGATCGCCTGCTCCGGCAACTACGCTCGAAGGAAATAAATCAGTGCCTGCACTTAAAACATTAACTTGTGTATGTTACGGATGAATAAGTTGAATTATTCTAGGTTTTTTTTTGTCATTATGTTACGTACTCTGTTGAGATGGCTTTTGAGGGAGGTGTCTGGTTCGCTGTGGGGAGTTGGGCGAGTGATGGGGTTTGTAAAATGTGAGGGTTTTCCTTGTAAAGTCTGTCGCCAACGAATTTACTTTGTACTGCACAGCTGTTGAAATTTGATGCTTGCCATCATGCTCGCTGTGAAAGGCCCTTTCAGATCGGTTACGCAATTACGGTCACATTGTCAGGCCTCTTCCAGCTGTGTGTGTGTGACCAACTCGGCATCGTGCGGTAACGAGTTTGTGTTTTTTTTTTCCAACGGTTGCCGAGCCAGTTGTCACGTCCCTCGTGAGCCTGATGATTGTACTGTTTGCGCGAACCTCGCCCATTTCTGCTTCACCGCCAGAGTCCATTTTTCACGGTCTCGTTTGATTTGTTTGTCATTTTGAGCTCTCCTCCCTGGTTTGTCGCACTGCGCAAATCCCTTGGAGGATGGTTTTACTCGGAAAGCAATTGAGCTCTGATTCCTCTAATTCTTGCTCTCGTCTCCGATTCTTATTTCTCGGTACTGTTTTTGTTTTACTCTCAAACAGTATTTTCTCATGACATTTTGAAGATTTGGGATGACATTGGGGGAAGAAAACTACACAATAAAATGCCGTAACAATGTTTTTGTTCAAAGCAGCACATGATGGTGAAGTGCCACGTTGAGTCCGCCTGCTCCCCACCGTTATGTCTCGCTCAGGCACACGGACGTGAAGGTGGTGTCCCCCGCCCTGCGCGCTGTCGGAAACATCGTGACGGGAGACGACGTGCAGACACAGGTAGGTGGGGGGGAGTACGGCCGACTGCGCCGGTGACAAACCCAACAAAAACCAACCGCTCTGAATATTCATGCCTCGGTAGTTTGACCGAGGCCAGAGTTTGTCGACTTGTGGTAGTCGTGCCGTACATGTGGCCGGCGAATGCTCTTGGGAGTTGCCCGCCAGGAAATGTCTTGTCGGCATGTAGGGAGATGCTGGTTAGGGAGATTGAGATTTTCTTTTTTTACATGGATAGAGAGCTGTAGACAAGAAGTAAACATTAGTTATGTTGATTTGAGGCTTTCGTGACTGCAGGAATCCATACTCTTTGGTTCTTTCTTTCTATCCCACCTGAGGACGATCGCTTGTGTGGCGATCGAAACGTCGTGATCTATTATAATTTTTCTACGTGACTTTACCGAAAGAACCAAAGAGTATTAGTTATGTTATGAATAGTGGTTATAATCTCAATTGGATCCAAGTTAATTTAAAAATAAGTTGCTTGAGTTTAGTAGTTCCCAACCTGTGTTCTGTGGAGTGGTGATTGCCCGCAAGGCTGTGGGAAACCGAAACTGTTGCAGATGCTTAGATTTTGTTTCGCAAAACTATTCACATTTTCACAACTATATAGATTAGTCAAAGTACAAGATAATTATATTTATGTTTAATTTTTATTTTCCTGTGCTTCTAGAGTAGCTTTCATTTTGAAAAAGGTAATTGGTGCGTAGAGGCCTGTGAATAGAATCGAGGCGTGACAGGGACGGTCTGAGTCCAGACAGGTAATGACGTGACAGTCCGTGAGTCCAGACAGATTATGATGTGACAGTCCGTGAGTCCGGACAGCTTATGATGTGACAGTCCGTGAGTCCAGACAGATTATGAACGGGGCACGAGACGGAGCAGGGGAACGCGGATCCAACATGGCGCTTGACTGCTTGAGACAGCGCGCCATGTTATGACGATGCTTCCCTTGTCTTTTGTTCACAAACTGCCCTCTCTCGTCCCCTCCGTGTGCACACCCCTCTACCACACCACAGGTGATACTGAACTGCTCGGCGCTGCCGTGTCTGCTGCATCTGCTGAGCAATCCCAAGGAGTCGATCAAAAAGGAGGCCTGCTGGACCATCTCCAATATTACAGCTGGCAGCCGGGCCCAGATACAGGTCTCACATTCCACGTGCACCTTGAAGCATGACGAGTGAGGGGGCTTACAGCCAGTACGTGGTAACATTTTACTTGGCCTGTGGCTGCATGTGAGGCCCGACCACCTCGACAACGTGCCCAGAACAATATTTATCTGTCGCTGCACCCATCTTAACCGTGCTATAATCCTAAGTCAAACTATTATAACAGCTAGCCCATGATCTTCTTTGGTGAACTGCTGTAGAGAATGTAGTTTTAAGTTCTCAGCTTGCTTGCTACCTTTATTGTTATCGAAATTAACAACGCTTTTGTCTTAACCGAAGGCTAGATTGTGGGACTTGGTCAACCCACTGCCACCGATCAGTACGTGTCAAGCCCCTTGTCAATCCACTGCTGGATGAGCGCCACCATGCCATGGTCATCAGGGCAGATTTTTGCAGAACTTCTTAAAGCAACCGCTGTCCTGCTTTAAACATAGAATATCCGTCAAAACCTATTATCATTTTCACACTGAAATGTATTTCTTTGCCCAGGCGGTCATCGATGCCAACATCTTCCCGGTGCTGATCGAGATCCTGCAAAAGGCGGAGTTCCGAACGCGCAAAGAAGCAGCCTGGGCCATCACTAACGCCACATCCGGTGGCACCCCTGAGCAGATCCGGTGAGGATGGTACTGCTGTCTCAGCAGACCGAGTAAGAGGGGTGTTGTACTACTGCCTAGTACCTCTGAAGACTCCACTATTGTCCGGCAGATCGTGTGAGGAGGGTACTGCTGTCTGAGTACTACTCTTGAGAGAGATGTTAAAACAAAGTTGCTTACCCATTTGGCGCACTTTATTTGCTTGAGTTGATTCAAGTAAAGAAAATGAGCTGTGCCCATCATGCGGCTAAGCAGGAAAAATGAATCCCTTATAGATACGTTTTCTCTATCAAGGGAAACTTTCTGAATTGTACTCCAGCCAAGGCAACCTGTTCAATAGCTTATTTTCTATGCCTGTTGTGAATCAGTTGTCACAGTTCGATCATAAATCTATAAAAAAAAAACTACTCTCCAAATGTATTCAATCTGCAGGCTTTCCGTGAACCTAGCCCATACAAACTTTATGAAGAGACGTTTGCTAATTATTTCCCGGATAATTTGTTGTATGTAACCTCCATAAAAATTTATACCAGTGTTGATTGATTCTATTGATCGAACAAATACTGCTTCAATATAAACGCGCTGACCGTTGTACAAATTAGTTTGTTCATGCAGAGGTGACTAAAAGCATGGGGGTGCACAAACCACGACTAACAATAGCAAAATAGGGATGCTCTGATATTTGGCCCTGTCGCCATGGTGACGAGATGTTATATAACTACCTCGCCTGGTATGCAGGAGATCGTGGGTTCGATCCCGAGCCTAACACCTGTATATTTTGAGTTTGCATGTCTCTCCCCGTGGTCGCATGGATTTTTCACTGGGTCCGCCGGTTTTTCCCTTCATACAGTAACATGCATTTGAGTATTTGTCAGCGACACATCTACACGATAAGCCACTTCGTTACGCTATCATTTGTGATAGCCAGGTCGCTTCTGAAAAAAGCTACATAGGTCTGTGAAGCCTTACCTGGTATAAAATAAAAACGAATTTAGTTTTAGACGGACATTTCCAACACTGCTGCAGAACCCAGTGAAAGGGAATTGGGAAGGAATGTTCGTGAACGTGCAGTCGAACGATGAACAATCGCGTTTTAAAAGTGACGTCGGTGGCAAACGTCCCGAGCCGCTGTTTGGCTTACCTCTATATAATCATTGTTTGATGGAGGGATCGGGGGAAGTAGGTCTCCCAGTACTGACGGTACCGCCTGCCCCCCCCTTCCCCTTTCCCCCCGCAACGACCCGGTTTGCGTGGAGCAGGTTTCTGGTGGAGCAGGGCTGCATCAAGCCGCTGTGCGACCTGCTCACCGTGATGGATGCCAAGATCGTGCAGGTGGCTCTCAACGGCCTGGAAAACATCCTGAAGCTGGGCGAGCAGGAGGCACGGCAGGACAATCTGGGCATCAACCCCTACTGCGCCACAATCGAGGAGGCCTACGGTAAGCGGGCGGGTAGGGGCAGGAGAGGTAGCTAGCCGTGAGGTCCGATTTATCCGGCGGGGTGGGGTAGAGGGGGTGCGGGATTTTTAAAAACGCCGGATAATCGCTACATCATTATTTAAAATGGCTTGTATTTGCACATTCTTGTATTGCATGTTTTAGGTGTTATGTATTTTGTAAATGTGTTTTAGTTGAAGAAATTGGCATAAATAAGCATACAAATAGTTAGGAATAAATATTATCCTGTAAATAGTTATTGTATTTACTGTATCGTACTTACCATTCCAATCTCGAAAACTGCATGGGTGATGTATTCATGTGCTGTATTTTAATTAAGTTTTATGTAGTGTATAATGTGTAGCTACTTTTTTTTTCTCACGGTCGTGGTGCTGATCGCTGGACTGGTTTACAGCCTTTGGGGCGGGTTTACCGCTTTTGTGTGATCAGCCCTGGATCACCGCATGATGTTGGAATCTCGATTATTGATGATCCAACTATAAAAATAACACTTTATTTAATTGACATGTGTGATTGACGTTTAAATTACACGCCCTTCCACGTGATCTGTAATTTGTATCGTTAAATAACGAGATGCTGTTCATTGGCGAATCGTACCTCTTATAGTTACTAGAGTAATGTAATATGTTTTAATGCCGTTGCTCATCGCTGATTTTGTCGGGAGGAAATGGGGAGCAAAAGTGATTGCAGGTTAGGGGATCCATGGAAATACAGGGAAAGGACTTGAGAACGGCAACTTATTTCACGTGGACGTTTGGGGCGACTGAGGCGCAAGCTTTGTTTTGTATGGGCGCCGTCGCTCCTGGTACCAAGATGGAACGCGAGGGGAGGTGAAATGACAAGTGGGGGAGGAGGGGAAAGACTTGAGGCCATGAAACAGCTTAACCATGTCGACTTGAGCAGTGACATTCCGAGCTGTAGCGTTGAGAGCTATAGAGGGCGGTACTTGCACAAAAACCGGTAAGTACGCAAGGGAGCATTGAGTGATGCATGCGTCAGATGCATTGAGAGACAGAGGGACACGCGGATTGGCGAACACACGAAAGTTAGACGTCACATTGGCTGTTGGGTAAAATTAAGTGGGCTCACACAGGGACAAGTCGCCAAAAGGAATGTTGGTCGGTGGTTGAGACCAATGCGAGTGTGCGAGCCAAAGGAGGGAAACGCATCCGAAAGGACGTTTACTACGGCGGTGGAAAGATGAATCCAGCATGTGTACAGGTGCTCGAGATTTATTACATCATAGAACCGTGAGAGATGACAATGGCTTGGGAGAAGCCTTCATCCAGCAGTGGATTAGTCACGGCTGATGATGATGACTTGCCAATGAGCTGTCTAATTGTTTCAAATATGAACGGGAGTAAGCCGCTTTGGTCTGCGGACCATGTCTGCGATTGCGATATCGCTCTCGCAACAACAAGAAAAACAACCAATGGAACAAATGACTAAACTGAAGTACAATCGCTGGATCCCCCCTTCCCCCATCGCCCAGGCCTGGACAAGATCGAGTTCCTGCAATCGCACGAGAACCAGGAGATTTACCAGAAGGCGTACGACCTGATCGAGCGCTATTTCGGCTCGGAGGAGGAGGACGGGGAGATCGCTCCGCAGGTGGATGAAAACCAGCAGCAGTTCCTCTTCCACCCCCAGCCACAGGCGCCCATGGGCGGCTTCCAGCTCTGAACCGCTCGCCCCCCGCCGGTCCGGTCCGTCCGTCCGTCTGCTCGCCCGTCCACCCCCCACCCCACCCAGAAACTCTCCTTCCCTACCCCGTAGTGAGCGAGCGATGGCTGCTGTCATTAAAAGTGGCTTCTTGCCCCACCCTCACAAAACCCCACCCCGTCCCTCAACGTGTGCCATGGATAAGGTAGCGTTGGGATAAAGCGGACGGCGCCGTCGAGGGTTGCGGCGCCGTCTATAAAGAGAGACGACGATGTTTGAGTGCGCGAGAGAGAGAGAGCGAGAGAGCGAGCGAGGGGTGTTGCTGTGAGCGAGTTCGCGTGGGTGTTGAGCCGAGACATTTGCCGCGCGACGGGAGAGGATTCGGCGCCCGCGTTTTACGCGATACGGGCCGTTCACGTGGTGGAGTAGCGGGGGGGGGGAGAGGAGATCTTTAGCGCTTTAACAACTGCCGCCCCCCCCCCCCCCGATGGTTGGGCAAGCAAAAACTTTGCTGCCCGTTTGTGCCACCTCCCCCCTCCTCTGCCGCCCGTGCCCCCATGCGCGCGCAAAGTCTGTGAGCTGATGGTGTTGGGCTATAAGCGGCATTGGCTTTTCCCACATGCTGTGCATAAAGTCCTCTGCTTTAGTTGTGCCTGTAGATGAAACTATAAGCTGGGAGCCTCAGCCGACAGGGAGGAGTGTAAACCCGAGTGTTTCCGCTGTGAAGTCTGACCTTCCCTGATCCCCGTTTATCCCCAATTCCCCCCCCCCCCCCCCCCCCCCCACCAATGCCATCCCCCCCCCACTCTTTTATTTCCTCTTCCCTTTAAAACCTTACTGCATTGTGCGTGTGTTTTTTTGTTGTTGCAAGTAGTGAAAACATTTGCGAGCAGTTGATTAAGCAACAAACTAAACAAGTATCAAGCGAAAGAAAACAAATCAGAACTAATTATAACCACGATATTACTTGAGTGTTTGTCCCCACTGCAATTGTGCTAAAGCGTGCAAGCGCTACGTGTTGTCGACACGGGGCAACGCCCGTGTAGGGATAGGGTGCAGCCTTGTGAACCAAACGGTACTCGCTCACCGTCCCTTAACCTCCCCCGTACCCGCTTCCCCCACACACACGGACACGCGGTGGGGGTCAGTGCATTGCGGCTGAGTTCTCGCTGCCCATCATCCCATGTGAACGATCGCCCAACGCTTCGAAACGCCCGCGGTGTGCCGTAGTTTGCTGTGCCGCCCACCATCGCTCAATCCCGGTTCCCGGTTCGCCTTCTCACTTGCCCGCGATCCCCACCATCTCCATAACCCAGCGAAAATAATCTCGCAAAATAACCAACTCTCCACGCATGGTGAATGGATATGTATTTTTCACTCTTGGTGGCTGCATCCATTCCCTTTTGGCCTTTGTGCAGGGATGGGGGAGCGCACCGTGGGTGGCTGGGCTATGCGACCGTGGGTTTGTTTTGCTGTTCCTCCGTTGCTTTTTTGGCTCTTACTTGGTGGTTTTATTTTTTGGCGCGGACCTTTGGGCTGCCTGGCCCCCCCACTGCCCACAAGGGCCGCGTCGGAGTGGGCGAGCTGCGACCTACGTGTGACCCCGAAATCATTTCTTCTCAGGAGCCCCATGGCCTCCCAGTCTCGACCAGCTAATAGCCTCTGTCCATTGCTTCATACAGACAGATGTATTTGCACACACGAACACACGCACGCTGTATTTCTATGTTCCTCTCAAATAGTCCATTAGCTTTGAAGGTACTGTTGTTTGGTGGTTCAAACATCATCCTTACAAATAAAAAAAAGCAAACAATGTTCCATGGTTTGCAATTGCACATTTGATGCATTGAGGCCACCCTAAATTGGGGCGGAGGGGGGGCTTTGCGCAGGTGGGCGATTCACCGTGCAGTGCTGTGACTGCGTGCATGTTCCTTTCCTTTATTTTCCCCTCGTATTTCTTTAAACGGGTGTTGTTTTAACGTAGTCGTTGCAGCAGCAGCCGCCCAATAATTTCTTCACCCGCGCAGCAACTGCCACCCCTGTCCAAGGGAAGAACCACCAGCGGCCCTACTGGCAAATACCGAAGGGTGTGTGTGGCGTTGGAAACGACGATTGAAAAACATTTGTGCTGTGCGAATTCCCCACGGCACTCCCAGGCACACTTTCGTCGGAGGTGCAGTCACATTGCCCAAGCTGCTGTCAGAAACAGTTCAGGGCTGCCCCCCCCCCCCCCTTGCTCGCACACACACACAGGGACGACGGAGAAAGTAGTCGCTCGTTTTGCGTTTGACAGTGGTGAGTCCGTTGACAGGACAGCCACTGTTGGCTATCTCACACAAGTACTATTTTAGTGGACCCCATTTGGGATGGACTACACCAACGACCCTTGAAGAGGATTTGAACTTGTGACACTGGCATCCACGCACATTGAGCCACCGGGTTGGATCCCCCCACCCACTTGTATAACAAGTGTGGTTCTATCGATTGTTGGGGTGCGCGTCCCTGTCTGCAACCCTGGGCCCCTTTGTGGCCATGGTTGGGCAGCAGGTCCGCAGTGGAGATTAAAATTTTGTGCCGCTCTTGTCGCCCCGTGACATCGACACGGGGCGTGAAGGCGGTGCAACTGCTCCGGGGCCCTTGGGCCGGGAGGGAGGGCCCAGGTTACAAAGTGGGGAGAATATTTGGGCGGAGTGTTTGGGGTGGCCGGGTCACACCTTCATTCTTTGCGCCAAGGCACATGGCAACCCGGCTGGTAATGCCAGGCTGTGTTTGCTGATGCCAGGGTAATCGTGCAGCCAATTCAAAACTCGTAGGAAAATTATGTTTCTGAAGGCAAATCAGGCCGTGTGAATGCACCTCTTCCTTAACCCTTGGCTTCAAAAAGCTGCGTCTCTTTTGTGCGTTGTGGTCTTCGACTGCTGTTCACCCACATCGTCATAACCGCATGTTGGGTTTTTTTTAGTTTACTACGTTTTATTCCGCTCCCTCCTTTCCTACCCAATCCGTGTTTTGTTTTCCTCTCGTTCTTCAATACATTAAAAGTGTACATTATATAAATAATTTATAAAACAAATCTGTCTCATTACGTAGGCTTATTTTGCATCTTGTGCAGCCAAATGTATAAAAAAAATATTTGTAAATTTAGAAGGGAGTGGTATTTGAGCTAAGACAAATGCTGGGGTCTTAAAAATAAAGTAAACATTATAATTGCGCGGGGATGGAAAATCTCCTCCGCTTATTTATCACCATGGTGTGTTTAAAAAAAAATACTCATTGGCTAGTACGTAACCCACAAGCCAATTGGTGCAATTTTAAGGTGTTTGCCATAAGGTGCACACATACATGAGGTAAGCGATTTTTAAATTGTCAACTTGGTTTGGCACTACCTCCCGCCCATTAAATCGATCTCTTAAAAATAAAAATGAACGCTCATTAACAAATCTCCTTCCGCGCTGCTCGGAAAGAATTCCCGGTCGTGCCAGTTCAGTTGGGTCTTAGGCGCAAAGGGTTAAACCAACTCAGCACAACCCCCCCCCCACCCACGCTTTCTCATTTTTGTAAACGTTTGAATTTACGTAGACAAGTGACTAGAGGTTTAAACAAGAGGTAGAATTGTCCACTGATTATCTACACTGGCTTGAGAGCTAATTTTTTTGTGATTGTAGCCTTCAAACAGCACTGCTGAACAAACCAGTTTTGCACTAAGCTATCATTCACCTTGCGTTCATGTAGGAGTTTCAAAGCAGTGAACGCTTGCAGCTTTTAATTATGTTAAAGCAGTAGGTTTTTTTTCTTAATTGCATGAAAACCATACCTGTTCAGCTTCTGCTGAATTTGAAAAATGACAGCGTAGTTTGCTTGGGTAGAACTACAGCCAAAACAACATTACACCATTTCAAGTAATAGTATTTGGATTTTTGGGTTCTTCATAAACCCTCTGCCAAACACAGTGATGTTGGCGTTTAATTCGATCATGCATCCAACACTGCTCGTAACAGTGGTAGGATGGTGACTTTTATATTTGTCAAGCCCATCGTGTCTGGGCACATGAATTGCCAATCAGGCTGTACATTTTTCAATTATTCAGCCTTCTGCATCGCGTCTGGATTCGGAATTGCACGCTCGCTGTCTCTACATTGGGTCTATCTACCTCTTTTCAAATGCTCTCAAACTGTGACCTAAACTGTTTTGCTCTTTGCTTTGAAGACATAAAGCTATGAAACTAGTAAACAAAAATAGCATTGATATAATTCTAAAACAAGTGGGGGGAAAAAATATAAAAAAATGTTTAAAAAGTGACATTTAGCAGAAGCTGTTAAGGTTGTATTATTCTTGTGATGCTCTGATTGGGTTTAAGCTTCAAACTTGTGCTGATTTTGTGTAGGCATTTGATTTCTTTTGCCCCTATTTCCTTTGTGTTTATTTTTTAGTCCCTTTATTTCCGGCGTAGATATACTCGCCGATGGGTCTTACCTTTAAGAAAAATGCATAAGAAGAAAATTGTATGTAAAAAAAAAAGGGAATAAGAAAGGTTTAAATAAAAGTTAGTTTTAAGCCCTGGTAGAAATGTAGTCTGCCTGTGCAGACGCAACAGCACCCCGCGACCCGCAGAATCACAACCCAACCAAGGAATCGACCCGCAAGAGATACTTTCGCGCAAATTTTACAAAATAATAATTATCAAGGACCAACCCAAACCCAATCCCAAGCTGTCGTTTATACAACCCTTTCCCCCCTTCTCTCACCGAAACCGGCCACCTTGGTGGAAATTGAGCGGTGGGCTGGGCAGGTTCCTTGTTGGATGACGGGTTCTGCGCGCCGTGTGGGAGGAGGCAGCAGCAAGTGTTTGTTGTGTCGGTAATTAATTATTGCGGTTCGCATTATTAGTACTCTGGGCCGCGGCTTTGTTGGGATGGACACACGCAGGACTCTGTGACGGGTCGCCAGCTTGAGTGTTTTGAGCTCGGCAGAACGGTTTGGCAGCAACTTAAAAAAAAAATTGACCACATTTTTATTTTTTTAAGATGTGTACGACAACAATCGGGTAAAAAAAACAGCGAGGCGTTAACATGCTAACTGCTAAATCTGTTGCGGGCGTGTTTACGTTTGCCCGTGAAAGGCCCGGAATAAAGCACGCTGTTCAACCAAATTGTCTCATGGTCACCTCCCCCCCCCCCTGCCCTAACCCCACCGCGTTGTTTCTCTCGGCCACCAAAATCGGCGCCAGACCCCCCCAACACCCCCCCCCCCTCCCGGTTGCGGTTGACGGGTCAAGGAGGCAGACGTGGTGGGGGGGGGTAGAGATGGGGGGCGGCCGCTGCACAGTTGGCACGCACGCGGCGGCGGGGGCAGAATTGGGAGGGCCCGCGATTGACGTCCCAATGGCCCCAGGGGCCACGGTGTCTCCGCCAAGTCCTCGACGCTTACCCCACGTCACTCGCTTTGCGTGCCCACTTATGGGTGTTGCTCTTGTTCCGGCAGCCGTGGGGGGGGCGGGGGTGTAATTTTTGTTGTTGTTCCCGCCTCCCCCCCTCACCAGGATTTTGTTGATCTGCGGCTAGCGACACGATCGCCGAGGTCCTTGAGCGTGTGTGGGCCCCAGCAAACCCCATCCCCCAACTTTATTAAGTCGTTAAGTGTAACTCGTTATAAGGAATCTCAAAATGTTAATGTGAATATTTGTAAGGCCACCTTGCCAGGAAGGATTTCACGACCGAGGGGGGTTCAAAATTTAACTTGTTAACTGGATAAATGAACTTTTTGTTAATTAATGCTGGCAGAAATTAGTCGATGCAAAAATATATATTTTTGCATTCAAAGCGTATTGAAGAGAAAAAATACCGTATATACTGCAATTTTATAAATGGTTCTCATGTTTTGTTAATGTACCTTTTGCTCATGCTGATGAATTGGCAAAAGTTTCAGATTATAAAACACCAAGTCCTTAAACTATTTACATCTATGACCATGCCATTGCTGTAATTGCCACTACAAATATTTTTTTTACCAACATTGTGTTTATTTGATCTCTTTGCATTAATGTAAGCCAGTACAAATATCATTTTTCAGGAATCACATAAAAGTGGCACATGAATAATTGGAACGCGGTATTTTAGTTTTCGACTTGATTTATGTTGTGTAAATATTTGTAGTATTTATATCGTTAAATATTCAATTTGCATTTTATTTTAATATCCTCAAAAGAATAATGAGACATGAACTTAAAATTTGTCATTGATTCGCCTATAGCGTTGTTAAATTGTATTTGCCGAATCCAGTAAAAAGGGGTAGGTGAATTGAGTCCCCTTTTTTCGATGGATAGGAAAAAAAGTTTGCTCGATTCCGGGGAATGGGTCTCCTGGCAAGGTGATGCATGCACGCACACGCACACACTTTGTCCCTTGGTACCGTTTTTCCTGGGACGCGCGCACACGCACACATCACACGCGCACACATACAGTCGCATACCGACTGGACGGCCCCCGTTCAAGAGGCTTTTGGTGGAAAATTGAGAATGCCCAATTTTAAAAAAATAAGCTTATTATCTTAAGTTCTTTCCCAGTTAGCGGCGGCTGCCGTTGCCCTTCCAAATTTGCGGCCCGTTCCGCGCGTTTAAATATAATAACATTTCTTTGACATAAAACTGTCGTGTGGCACATTACGATCTATCTGCAGACTGCTGCTGCTTTTTTTAATTTCCGGAACAAATCCTGTTTATGGAAAAAGTAATAGGAACATTGCTTTGGCCTGTACGCGACAGCTCTCGCAGTATTTATTTTTATAATCTTGTTTACATTTTTTGGCGCTGCGATCTTGGCAGAGTAGCCGTGAGCCACCACAACCGGCGGACAAAGCAATTTGCTGCCACTCCTGCCGTCTCGAGACTCTGGAACGGCAGAAATAAATAAGAAGGGGCGGCATGAATGGGGCGGTCGCTTCTCAACTTCCCGCGAAAGCCAGCGTTTGAACGGAGGGTACCAAACGGAGAACAACCACGCGACTTGTGCTGACGTTCCGTGTGTGTGCGAGTGAGAGAGAGTGAATGCTCGACTGACTTGATTGATTGGCTGTGGCTTTGCAGACTTAAAAAAGGAAAAAAAACTATCTATTACCCCCTCTCCCACCCCTTAAGCCGAGAATGACCGCAGTCGTCAGCAGTATCGGTGTGGCATTACGCACGTGTTTCAGTACTTTAATGCAGGAAGTTACTGACAAACGTCAGTTCATTGTTTGTCTCTCCTAGGATAAAAGCTGTGGAAAGCTTTAGCCGGAGGGAAAAGTGGCCCATGTTGCTGTCCCTCATTTTTTTGTTTGGCTCGGCGTTTCCTGGCGCACAGGGCCATGCTTGGGGACGGGGCGGGGTGTAGTCTGGCTTCATCTTTGCGTTTATTTGCCGTGGTCAAATTGTGCTGCGCTTTTTGGCGTCGCAATACAATAACAAAGAACTGCATTCACGCACACACTTGCGTGTTTGGCCAGGATGCGCAAGTTTCCACGGGCCTTCGTGATTTTGTTTTGTCGATAACATCGAGAAGATACATATATACTATACATATATATTGGAGTTACGCACGCTGTCGGTTATCGGAAACCCAACGTTGAGAGCAAAGGGCGTGATCTGCATTGCAACTTGGGAGTCGAGTTGCAATTGAAGTTGCAATGCAGGTTGCGCAGTTAGGAGTGACAGGTTCCGACACCATTTATCGTGACACCTTAAGCGAGCATTGTTGACTTGTTGAGCTTGAAATGTTAGCATATTCTCGCTTCACAAATGACTACGGAATCGTTGCAATATCACGGCAAGAGAGTATGCACTGTGCATGTAAACCAGCCTACGTGGTGGTGTCTCGTCCGCATCTTCCGTTCAAGTGGCGTGTCTTTCCGTCGTCTCATTCGCGTCACATGTTTTGTACGAACACAATGTCCACAAGCACGGCAATATTTGCCTGCTGGTGGTGGTGAATTCCACTTGGACGTTGAGAACTGTATTCTTTTGGGTCTTTCGGTAAAGTCACTGGGATAGCTTCAAAGAAACTAACAAAAAACGACGTTTCGATCGCTACACAAGTGGTCGTCATCTGCTTCAGATGTTGACGACTGCGTACCCTCGCCACCTGCAGGGTTCCCTTTGATGTTTCTTTTTCGTTGTAATCAGAAAAAAAAGTTTCGATTTTCTTTTCCACGTCTGTACGCGTGAGTGGTTGAGCCATGGTTGTTAGCCAAACATATCCTCGATAACTGCATCGATCAATCGGGTCGAGCCATTGCCCCTCCCCCCCCCAGAGGTCCTAGACTTCTCCACTCGACGTGATTGTTTTCTCTCTGCTGGTGCGGACACCCAAAACAAAGACGAACGACGTAATAACTGGAACTGGCGAGCTGAACTGGGGCACGGTTTGCCACGGATGGAAGGTGCCACGGCACACGTCCATTGTAGCCTTCTTGAGGCGAATTCCGGCCTGGTCCGTGCCTGGGTTTCTTGTTTTGCCGTGCAGCTGCCGTGGGTACATTTTGATGTCTCTCCAACATCATCATCATCTCTGCTCTCCCGTTTCTCATTGAGGCTGTTGAAGGGTTCATTGTGGCCGGTGACATTGTTAGGTAAGCCCACAGTGTGTCCCATCTTTTCCACCCAAGGTAAACATTTTTTTTTATTTCGACTTTTCAAATGTGATAAATGTGTGTTTTGCACATGTTATATGTGACTTAACTGGCATTCAGTGACTGCTATTGGCTATTGTACAAACAGCTTCATTTTTTTAGGATATTTTTTTCCTCAAAGGCACGCGCACCAGCTTAGAACGTGCGGTAAAACAAGTTATATCAACAAGCAATAATCGGACCTCGTAACCAATTCTCTGAAATACCCATTTATTAAATGTTTGATTCTAGGTTAAGCAGATTTGGGCACTTAATACCTGCGCGTGCCTCAACCGCAAGGGGTGCAGTGTTGTCATGATAAACAATAGCACCGATAGGGCATTTGAGATGCACGCTTTTTTTGTAATATTGGATTTCTAAGCGGGGAAAATCTTTCCTTCCCTTGTCCATTGTAAACCAGCAAAGCAAACAAAACAAACAGGGTAATTGAAAACAATACCACAAACGGAGCTTGGGTGGAAAAAAGTCGGTGTTCATCGATTTGACGTCGTGAAATTTAGAAGTTATTTTGTTTCTACTACAGAAAAAATAACCGATTTAATTTCTTCATCATCACTATTCTCTAATTGTGTCCAACTCAAAGGAGGCCTTTGTCAATTAACGTGAAACTTATATATATTCTTATTTGTTATACATTGAATTATATTTTCATTTTCTAATTGTGCAATGTGGCTAAAGAAAATTCCGATTTTGGCGAAAAAAGCGGATTTTACTAAATCTACAAGTCTCTTGGATCACTCGAGAATGCGCACAATTGACACTTGGGTGCACATGTAGATTTCAAAAGGAAAGCGGCAATTGTGCTTCAAACTATTGAAAAGTGCTATTTTAATAACTTAAAATAATAATACAGGAAAAAAAATAACTAACAGCTGTATGCAAATTCGTTCCGGCTGTTGATGGCCGAATTGAAACAACATGAAGTGGGGCAGCTTTAACTGGCTTGAGGTTGCCGCAGGGAATATTTAAACTCGGAATACGCTCTCGAACCAAACTTTGCTGTATTGAAATTAATAAATAAGTCAAGGAACGTCAAAAGCGGCGAGTGCCCCCCCGGCATGCGGCCGGTCCTCTCCCTCCCCTCGGGCCCCCCCCCCCCAATCCCTTCTTCTCGACATGCCCCCCCCCCCATCCCCGTTTACACTCAGCAGCAACGTGCCATGGATCATGCGCTATTATAAATGTTTTTGCCTCCGCAGGTACAAACCTCACTTTTCTGTGCAATACAATGTTTCCTCTTCCCCTCGGCTTCACGACGTTGGCTTTTTTTTTACGCCTTTTTACCGTAACCTCAGAGTAGCGTGTTGTCGCTCATAACTTTTTGTTCCTTTATTTTTATTTCTTTTTTTTTCCTTTTTTATCCGTAGGATCTGTTTACTGGTTTTTCCTAAATCGGCTTTAAAAAAAAGTGTTACATTGCAGATGGCATGTCGGCAGATATATTTTTCTTGGGTGCCGACTAAAAGCGTGCGCGATTTCTTTTCCTTTACGGATGATGATACTGTATTTGGGGCACACGCCAAGGCTTAAGTTAATTTTCGTCGTGTGGCTATATTATGCGATGTTTCTGTGACAACCACGCGTTTGCAATACGAGAGAAAATTTGAACTTTAACAGCCAGGAGTGTTCAGCTCTGCCGCAAAGGCTGGCTTTCTTCCAATAAAGCTTATCTACTTTATTTGGTTTATATTTTTAAAACAGCACTTCATTTTGTACCTACAAAACTTGAACGATCTCTACCATTTTGTATGCTGCGTATGGCCGCCGGCTGGGGCAGAGATTTGACAGACTGAAGACGTTTGCATTGACTTTTAAGGAGTGGTCTGGAGAGAGGTGTGAGTGAGTTGACATACGTAAATATTGAAAAATATAAAGTACACGAACACGACTCGCAGACATACACAACTACAAAAAATTTCATTTTGTTACTTGTATTATGTTTTTTCCTGTTTAACATGTAAAATTGTAACCATTTAAAAGCGATAATAAAAGTCTTCAGTTACAAACACATTTTGCTCTGGTCTTTTTTTTTACCAATGTTGATCGTATTCAAAGTGTCATCAGCCGTGTCCATTTAAATTGACACGTTGTGTTGTGTCATGAGACCTTTTTTTCCAGGCTCAGCGTGAAAAATAAGAAGAGGTTTTACCCTTCATGGCAAAAAAACTGATGTTACATTTTTCAAATACCAAATAGATAAATTTCGCAAGGAATTATGTCTGCATTAACCACACGTGCTTGTGAACATGGAAACAAACACGCGCTGACAATTTTGTATCATTGAAATTGTCATTAGCCGTGTCCTTAAATTGACACTTTTCATTAAATTGACACTTTTATTATTGAAATCGACGGGGGCTGCTGGTGTGGAGACACTGCCGTGGTGTGATGGTGAGCACGATGGAATTTAAATCCATGGGGACTGCCGACTTCCATTCCATCTCGTGCGGCAGTTGTGCAATGGGGACGAGTTTCTTAAATCCCCCCACCTCTGTCCGCCCCGCAGCATCAAGTGGGTACCGCCGCTTAGTCTGATCGGCAGGCAGGTCACCTGTGTTGGGGTCAAAGTGTGGATACTTCCATATCTTCCAAGATATGCTGGCCAATATGGAAGTAGGCCAAATGCCCTCTCTTAGAGGGGCTGTCCAGAGCTCCCTCGAGCGGAGAGAGGCCCCTTCTACCAGCAGTGGCGTGAACAGGCAATTGCAGATCTGCACCTTTACCCGCATCCACATTTTGCTCCCATGTCCGAGTGGGGGCGCCACGGTGGCAAGATGTTATCTCCCTCGCCTGATATACAGGAGGTCGTGGGTTTGATCCCGACCCTGAAGCCTGCTGTATATTTAGAGTTTCCATGTTCTCCCCGTGGTCGCGTGGATTTTTCTCCAGGTCCTCCGGTATTTCCCTCCTAAATTTAGAATCAACATCACGCGTTTAGAGTATTTTGCTGCTATAAATTTCCACGTGAAAAGCCACTTGGGTGAGCTATCTTTGGCGATAGCCAGGTCGCTCTGAAAAAGAGCCGTATAGCTCAGTGGCGCCTTGCCTGGTAAAATATTTTTTTTAGAAATCTGCATTTCAAGCAGCAGCTTAAAGCCCAAGTCGCTATTTATCGCCTGGCTTCGCGGGATGGTTAAGCGCAGAGCAAAAGGGATTTTGCTTAATTTTGTTTTACTTCAACCCGTGTCATCCTCTATGCGAGTGCCTTGAAAGTTGTGCCTTCAAATAAATCCCGTTACGTTTTTACCAAAAATAGCCGGTGGGTGTCTCTTTTGTTCGTCTCCCACGCTTCTCGAACGGCTCCGCGAGGTTTCTGCGACCCACCCAGTCGCAGTGTCTGTGGCCACTCCGCTCGCGTGGCGCTCTCGTTTGACCCAATTGCCACCTCGCGGCGGTTCGAGCACGGAATGTCCACCCCAGGTTTTTCACGGTTGCTCCTGGGCGTAGCTCTGGTGTGGTTTCTCAGAGGGGTTTTTTTCCCCCGGGTGTCATTCGGCACAACATCCTGACGTTTCACTCCACGTGACGCAACGTCAAAACACGTCGGGAGGGCTGCGAATTGCAATCCGTACCGGCGCGAGGTATTTAGTTTCGTCGTCCCAACTGTGTGAATCGGCATTGAGGTTTCCCCATTCTCTAATGAGGATCATCCACGTACAAGGAGGGGATCGGGTGCCTCGCAGGTCACAGGTCGGAGCGCTGAGATGGCACCGCCGAGAGGCTGGGCTCGAATTCAGGCAACCACCTGTGGGTCAATCCGGGTTCTCGTGTGCAGTGAGGTTATGGTCCCAGGCTGGTCACCGTTGACTTGCAGGGACACCAACAGACTCGCCTAGAGACCCACAGACTCACATAGGCCGAGTTGTGATTAAACGGGGTTCTCAAGTGTCGTGAGTTGATGGTTTCAGCTCGGTTACCAATTACTACACACACAAACATCCATCACATGAAATTTGTTTGTGCCCCGAGTGTGGCTATAATCCTAGCTTCTGGAAATTTCTGAACTTTGCGCAACAAACATTCGTCTCGGGCACAGCAGGTGGGACATTGTGTGACCAGAGATGATGATAGTAACGTGAAGCGTTCTCGGTGGTGGCTCCGTGATATCCACTTCCGCGAGCCATTCTGTACCACGACGAGAGATCCGACGGCTCTTCGTCTCGATACGCGACGCCGGGTGAACGATTCGAATGAAATCGGGAGCGAAGGATAACAAATGATGCAGGACATTCCATTTGTTTTTTATTCACGCGCATCTTTGTGTGTTGACTGCCCCGGGACAGGCAAGCAGGTCAGATACCCCGCGACGAACAGGCACTTCAAGGACCGCAATGCACTTTTCACATCCTTGCGTCCACCCTTGTAAACAAGATATTGCTTCTCATTGGACCCTCGCATTATTTATTCATGCCGCTCAGCCAGAGGCACTAAAACCAGTAACGCAAATTGGCAGCAGCAGCAGCAGGCAGCGGCTTGAGTGAGGACAGTGGGTGAGAGGTGACAAGCTTCTTGAATTGGTTACACAAAGGCCGGGGAAACAAACAAAAACACATTTAAGCTGATGCCTCTTTTTTTTTTCTTTCTGCCGTACAACCCGAGCCACGCTTGGGCTGTGCCGAGCCAGCCAAGCACGACTCGCGACGCGCCACTGCGAATTTTCCACCGCAGAACCAGAGCCGTGCCGCTGACGTCACTCGCAGTGAGAGGATTGCAGACAAACTTGTGCAACGCATGGAATGATTGGTGGCTCTCCTGGCCCTGCTTGGCCCCGAGCCAGATGCAGATGTCCCCTGGCAGTTTCACGGTTTTGGTTCTGACTTGGCTTGGCAATTAGCCCAGTGGAAAAAAAACAGCCGGGCTGTGAGGGCCCCCGTGGTGGCTCGGATCGAATGTGCCAGTGGAGAATTGGGCCACGGTGTGCAGAGGAAGGGAAAGAGGGTGGACGTGTCCCGCAGTGAGACCGCCGGGCAAATATACAAACAGCAATGTCCACAGCCAATGACGTTTGGCTACGACCTTGCCGTTAGCGAGCCACACCGCGACCACAGCATTCGTCATTCTCTCGCTGAGATTGCATTGTTAATTGCGCAGCATTAACAGAATCATCACCACCACCACCATGTCATTTATATATTCGCCGTGTTTTTTGGTCTTTCGCGGTGCCCTGCTGTCTCTGCGGTGCCCTGCTGTCTCTGCGAACGCTGCTACGTCATCCCGACCTGCGTCTTCATTGGGACCTCAGTCGTGAGTTGTGTTGCATTACGGTGAATTCAGTCGCGTCGCAGTTCCGTTGTGTCACAGTGCTGCCCGCCGCTCGTGGCCGCCGTCGACTAAAAACAGAAAAGCACCGCCCGACGAGACGTTTCCCGCCGCTAATTCCGCGCACAAACAACGGAAAGAGCACCGCTGGACGACAGGACCCGGGGTCGCCCGGCCCCCCGGGGGTGGCTCAGCCGCTCTTGGCAGTGATGGCGTCCTTCTCGCGCAGAGCCTCCGCGTGCCGCTCAGCCTTCTTGGCCAGGTTCATCACGGTCAGGGACTCGTTGCGCTGCGCTGCCTGGGGGTGGGGTCGTCATGCGGGCGGCAGGAGGTGCACGTTGAGTAACAACAACAACAACAACTTTTGATTTAAAGCTTTCGTGACTGCAGGGATTCATATTCTTGGTTCTTTCGGTAAAGTCACGTAGAAGGGAAATAATAAAATATTGTTTAATATTTATATTATTTTATTATTTCCCTTCTACATGACTTTACCGAAAGAACCAAGAATAACAACAACAACAATAACCGTAATAATGATCATGATGCAATTTGTAACGCGCACAATATTAGAATCATAATCTTTTACGCACACTGAAGGAATCCGATGAGATTTTAATCTCTTTTTTTCACAGATTTCCAGTAGGACAAACAATATAAGAACATGGTTAGAATGCAAAGTATAGAAAAGGTAAGCAAATCACTTTACAAAGATAACTGAAGTATTTTTATTTTGTACCAGGTAAAGGCCGACTGAGCATATGAGCTTATTTTTAAATCCTTTATATTAAGTTCGCTTGCTTGCTTAGGACCGTGCAAATCTTTCAGTCGTTTTTTAACCCACTTTCCGTGATCCAATCGAGCTGACATTTTCCACACAGACTCGTTGTGCGTGACAATTAATGTTCGTGAAACATTTTTTCCAAAATTTTACACTTTTTAGGACAAAAATATTATATTTAATTACCAATTGCTTAATGGTGCAATGCAATCATCTGACCCATAGGTGGCAGCCATCTCAAGCCAGAGGACGAGAGGACTCTAGCCGCCACGCATATAAAGGATTTATAGTGAAAAACTTTGTTTTTACGGGTTATACTTGTTCAGAAGCGACCTGGCCATCACAAATGATAGCTTAATCGTGTGGAAATGTATAGCAGAAGCCAAATGTATTTATTCAGCTGTGCCGGGTGGAGGAGGCCGTAGATGTGACGCGTCGGAATTTCACTCACGCTGTGATCTGACCCCAACGAAAATCATCGATAGAATCCTAAACATCGATCGCAAAAGCCTGCACCGTAAAAAAAAAATATATAAAACGTGAATTTATATTGCGTCTAAATACAATTTGCATCTGAAGACGCTGTACAAAAACAGTTTAACATAAGCATCACGTAGGCAACGAAATCCAATTTTACAGATGTAATAACAATAGAGCCTGCATGCAGTGTGAGCCGTGAGGGGACTAGTGGTCACGGGAGGTAATGACAGGGAAATCAGTTGTGAGTGTGAAGGGACTGGTGGCCACGGGAGGTAATGACAGGGGAATCAGTTGTGAGTGTGAAGGGACTGGTGGCCTCATGGAGGTAATGACAGGGGAATCAGTTGTGAGTGCGAAGGGACTGGTGGCCACGGAAGGTAATGACAGGGGAGTCAGTTGTGAGTGTGAAGGGACTGGTGGCCACGGGAGGTAATAACAGGGGAGTCAGTTGTAAGTGTGAAGGGACTGGTGGCCACGGGAGGTAGTGACAGGGGAGTCAGTTGTGAGTGCGAAGGGACTGGTGGCCACGGAAGGTAATGACAGGGGAGTCAGTTGTGAGTGTGAAGGGACTGGTGGCCACGGGAGGTAATAACAGGGGAGTCAGTTGTAAGTGTGAAGGGACTGGTGGCCTCATGGAGGTAATGACAGGGGAGTCAGTTGTAAGTGTGAAGGGACTGGTGGCCTCATGGAGGTAATGACAGGGGAGTCAGTTGTGAGTGCGAAGGGACTGGTGGCCTCATGGAGGTGATGACCCCCCCGCCCCCTCCCCCGCTCTGCCCCCCCCCGCCCCCTCCCCCGCTCTGCCCCCCCCCACCCGCCCGCCCCCGCAAAGGGGAGGGACACAATGCGCTGCTGCTTCCCGCAGCAAGCCGAACAATTGGATGATTATGCAAGTCCGCATTGTCCGAAGCATTTCCTGAACTTGCACAAAAATAAATATTGCCTACGAGAGGCTGGCGGGGCTCGTAAGGGCGCTTTGTGTTTGTCCCGGAGCACAGAGGCACCAGGAGTCGCTGAAAACCTGGGTTCAAACACAGGCCCCGGGGTGTGTACTGTGTGTATGTATGTGCGAGGGGAGCGGTGGTGCGGCGGTTAGCGCACTGCTCACGGCCAACACCAGTGACGATTATCTGAACCGGTCCTGGGCCTCCCCTAGGTCGACTCACCGCTGGGGAGACAAAGGCGGCCGGGCGTGGTGCTGGCCACCCGCCCCCTCGTGTGCCGTTCCGGCCTTCACAGGTGCTCGCTAACAGCACTTGCCCCAACAGTCTGTTAAGGCTACACGGGTGGATCGTTGTCTTCTGCTTGTTTTGTTCCACCCGCGACTAAAAACCGCGGTTCTCTGCCACCGCTGTCGAATTTCGCCGCTGCCGCCGCCGGCTGCTGCTTTGCTGTGGCGGCTCTCCGGTCGCTCTCCCCTTCCAGGGGAGTTCTTCGCGTGTTTGGGGGCGCGACGATGTCCGACGTCTTTCACTCCGCTTGTTGGGAGCTCCTCCTTCTGCTTTTTTGGTGGTGGTGGACAACGACTGAGCAGCTCGCTCACCGGTCTTGCCGCGGCTCTCGCCGCTGATTGGTCGGGCTCTCAACGGTTGTTCGAATTCAGGGCTTAATCGATCATTTTAAGCCGGGTGTTTCCGTGTCAATGAAAATATGTTCACACGCGGCAAACCACATCCAGTACAGGGACTCGTCTACTTATGAACACTCGACTTACGAACATTCGACTTACAAACATTCGACTTACGAACTTTCAGAGATACGAACAAACCTGGTCCGTACGTCCAGGTTGCCTGTTCGGACCGAGAGTCGTAAGTTCAACCGCCGCGCAATAGATGGCAGCAGCGGCATCTACATCTGCTGAACGTCAAGAACCAGTGGCATCTGCGTTTACAGAACGTGAAGAACCAGTGGCATCTACATCTACAGAACGTGAAGAACTAGTGGCATCTGCAGAACGTGAAGAACCAGTGGCATCTACATCTGCAGAACATGAAGAACCAGTGGCATCTACATCTGCAGAACATGAAGAACCAGTGGCATCTACATCTCCAGAACATGAAGAACCAGTGGCATCTACATCTGCAGAACATGAAGAACCAGTGGCATCTACATCTCCAGAACATGAAGAACCAGTGGCATCTACATCTGCAGAACATGAAGAACCAGTGGCATCTACGTCTACAGAACATGAAGAAACAGCGACCCCGATGATACCACAGAGGGCAAATTGAATCCCCTCGAATGACCTTCCCCCCACATCCCCCCACACCCCGCACCCATATCGCGATGGCAGGACGCACGGAAGGGTCACCTGCTTGCCGGAGGCGATCATGACGAAGCATCCGATGATCGTGAGCAGCATCATGAAGTAGCAGACCTTCACGCGGACCTTGTTCTTAGCCACGTTCACCATCTCGTACCTGGGGCAGGCGAGACGGCGCGTCCATTTAAGGATGGGGAACGAGGAACGGGAGGAACGAGGAACAGGGGAACGGGGGGAATGGTGGACAGTCGCCAAACGAAACCTCAGAGCGTCACGGTGGTTCTAAAGCCAGGTTTGGTGGATCACGCAGAGGTTTAATCTCCAAACTGCCGCCGGCCTCTGAGGTGGCATTTGGAGAATGTCGATTGGACTCGGACTGCGCGGAGCTCCGAGATTGCGCGTCCGCCCGTCGTACGTGCCGGGGGGTTTCCTCCGGCCCTACTGAGTTGCTCCCACGAGCCAAACGCTGCTTCAATGGCACCGGCACGAACATCTCAACGCAGCAACTCCCCCAACCCCCCCCAGCAAGAGTCCTCGTGAGCGCGACTCTCCCACTTTAGGGTCGCGAGTTCATTTTACAAAGCGGCGGACTGACAATTGCCTCTCGCCGCATCGCCGGATCTCAGCAGCGATCTTTATCTATTTTTCTTCACGACGCCTTGTTTAGATCTGACCTAATTGTATGTTTATACTAGCAAGTGTACCCGTTCTTCGCACGGAAATTAATAGTTTAGTCCTAGTATAGATAGACATCATTTCTCTCCCCCACCCCGAGCCGCGCATTTGTGCGGGATACACGGCCGACGCGGGGTGACGTCACAGGCACACTGCGTGACGCTGCCGCATGCGGGTGACATCACAGATGTGACGTCACCGCTCACTTGCCGTGCAATACATTATATCCATTATTTCCCCCCTCCCCAAAAAAAATATATATACAAAAGTCTATTTTTATACTTTTTGCAATGTGTACAGTCTGGAAGCTACCCACATGCCAAATTTCAAGTTTGTAGCATGTTGGGAAGTATGCTAAACATTTCGAACAGACACACTTATTCACAAATGTCCCTTTTATATATATAGAAGAAGATATATAGAGAGAGATAGCGAGCGTCTTCACTCAAGACGCTGGACACGGCTTACACAACTGTGGCAGGGATGTAAATATGTAGGTGGCAGGGGGGGGGGCGTGCTACAAGGATTAAGGAATGAGTGAACGCGATAGAGACGGAGTACTTGGGGATCACGAGAGGGTAGGGGAGGGAGTTTGTGTGATCTCCCCCTGATCTACATAGTGAGAGTGAGTGAGTGGAGTTTGTGTGATCTCCCCCTGATCTGCATGGTGAGAGTAAGTGAGTGGAGTTTGTGTGACCTCCCCCTGATCTGCACGGTGAGAGTGAGTGAGTGGAGTTTGTGTGATCTCCCCCTGATCTGCACGGTGAGAGTAAGTGAGTGGAGTTTGTGTGACCTCCCCCTGATCTGCACGGTGAGAGTGAGTGAGTGGAGTTTGTGTGATCTCCCCCTGATCAGCACAGTGAGAGTGACTGAGTGGAGTTTGTGTGATCTCCCTCTGGTCTGCACGATGAGTGAGTGGAGTTTGTGTGACATCCTGCTGTTCAGCAGAGTCAGAGTGAGTGGGGTTTGTGTGATCTCCTCCTGTCTGCACGGTGAGAGTGAGTGAGTGGGGTTTGTGTGATCTCCTCCCGATCAGCACAGTGAGAGTAAGTGAGTGGAGTTTTTGTGATCTCCCCCTGATCTGCATGGTGAGAGTAAGTGAGTGGAGTTTGTGTGATCTCCCCCTGGTCTGCACGATGAGTGAGTGGAGTTTGTGTGACCTCCTGCTGTTCAGCAGAGTCAGAGTGAGTGAGTGGAATTTCCTTCGGGTTCTCAAGCGAAACATGCCAACGCACGACCCTCTTGAGAACGTCCACGGAGTCAGTGTGGCTTTCCTCGGTGAATATATTTACTCTCTAAAAGAGGGATGACATTGTCATCCTCTCAGCCGACAAAGGCAATGCCACTGTCATCATGGACAAAATAGAATACAACAACAAAATTCAAGAACTACTCAACGATGGCAGCTATACAAAAATAAAAAGAGACCCCACCAACAGCCTCGTCTCCAAAACCAACAACATCATTTCTGCTTCAACCGCATTAATTGATCAGACCAAACAGTTCTCGTTGAAACCTTCTGCAGCCAGGCCACCAAGATTGTACGGCTTGCCAAAGATACATAAAGAAGATACACCTCTTCGTCCCATTGTTTCTACTATCAACTCCCCCACTTACAAACTGGCTCGTTTTTTGTCCGAAATCCTACGGCCTTTCACTGGAAAAACCACCTCTGCAGTACTAAACTCTACTGACCTGGTATCGACAATCAAGGGGATTGCCCTGTCCCCAGACGACCTGCTTGTCAGTTTTGATGTGGTTTCCTTGTTCACCAAGGTGCCTGTGCCTGACACCATCGCAATCATTGAAGACTTGGTTCATCAAGGACTGAATGCTGGGGTACCCCCCCTGGTGAGACACTGCTTAACCAATACATACTTCACCTGGAATGGAACCTTCTACAAGCAAATTGAGGGCACCCCAATGGGCTCCCCCCTATCTCCGGTTGTAGCCAACATCTTCATGGAGAAATTTGAGACGGACGCCATCCAGACTGCCACTCTACGCCCGACCTTATGGAAGAGGTACGTAGACGACACTTTTGTCATCTGGCCACATGGCCGGCCTGCTCTAGACCAATTTCTCGACCACATCAATTCCATACACCCAGCCATCAGATTCACCATGGAAGTCGAAAATGATGGCAAGCTACCCTTTTTGGATGTCCTAATCAAAAGGAGACCTGATGGTTCAATGAGCCACTCTGTCTACAGGAAAGCCACCCACACGGATGCTTATCTAAAACCGGATTCCCACCACCATCCATCCCAGAAGAATTCCCTCATCAAGACTCTATATCATAGAGCCCAATGCATCTCCGACCATGAACACATTTCCAGTGAACTCAAACACGTACGCCAAGCTCTTAAGGCTAATGGTTACTCCGACTACACAATCCGCAAAGCCATCACTCCAACCATCAAGAAGGATCCTGTTGAGGAGCCTTTCAAGACCATCACCTTAACCTACATTGCTGGGGTCACAAAAAAGATCTCCAAAATCCTGATTAAACACAAGATCCAGGTCCGATTCAACACAGTACATAAAATCCGTGATCTGGTCCCGTCTGTAAAAGATGTGGTTCCAGACATACAGTACCCTGGCGTCTACAAACTAAGTTGCCTCTGTGGTAGCAGTTACATTGGAGAAACCAAACGACATGTCTCGGACCGCATCCGTGAACATAAGGCAGACCTGAAACACGGTAGGACAAACACCTCAGCCGTGGCAGATCACTGTTACAACTCAGTGGGCTCACATGATATTGACTTCTCCAAGACAGAGGTTCTCTGCAAGCCATCTGGCTATCATGAGAGATTCGTTCATGAGGCGATCCACATATACAAACACAGAGACAATTTCAACCGAGAAGATGGATTCTGGCTTAGCAATCATTGGAAGGACGTAATAAACCATTTCGGATCTTAACTGATTGTGTTCACGTTTACGGTGACTTTCAGACCGCGTTCCACTCACTGGCATGGTGCAGTGTGCAGAGTAATGTATGGTGTCGCAATTGTATAGTAAACATATAGCAGTGTGATACACATTAGGGTGGGTAGAATAATACATAGTGTTATATTAAAATGGATAAGGTAGCAACTGCAGCAGCAGCAGCAAGTGCAGCAGCAGCAGTAACAGCAGCAGCAGCAACTGCAGCAGCAGCAACTGCAGCAGCAGAAACTGCAGCAGCAGCAACTGCAGCAGCAGCAGTAACTGCAGCTCCCTTTGATGCTGTTAATCCTGCATAATGCACATGCATATGCAGTACTAATCACATTCCTGCATTTCCCATAAATATGCTAAATTCCTTTTGATATGCAAATTCCTTTGTCAATGCGCCCAGCTTATATATATGCTCCAAGCTCGTGTGCTGTTTCATTCAGACTCTGTCGCCTCGACGGACCTGGTTTTCACCTGAGGACGGCTGCTTGCGTTGTGGCCGAAACGTCGTGAGAATTGTCTTATTATGTTTTATTTTTATTATTTTATTACTTCCCTTCTACGTGACTTTACCGAAAGAACCAAGAAGTTGAATCCCTGCAGTCACGAAAGCTTTAAATCGAAATTTAATATAGTCATTATATAATCATTATTTATTAATATAACAGAGGGCGGCGGAAGGTGACGGAGTCTCTCGTCGCCGCTTCCTCTACTGCTCCACCGTTCCTCTTCTACGGCTGTGCCCCTTCCCCCTCCCCACGTCGGGGCCTGTCGGGGTGTCCATGCGATGCGTGGGATCTGTGGGAGTTCATTCGCTCAGAGGGCAAAACTTCGGCGGGTGGCTGGGGCCGGGTGCGCGACGCGTCTGGCGCTGATCGGATTACGACGCGAGACGGACGCGTGGATGTGTGGCGACTCGGGTGACAAACCTTTTAAGACAGTCTGCATCAGCAGCAGGCCACGCTCTCCCACCTGATGACGGACGCTTGTGTTGCGCCCGAAACGTCGTGATTTATTTTATACCCACGTGACTTTACCGAGTATAGTCAACAGTTCGTGAACCAGTTCAACTGACCGCCCCCCCCACCCGTGCAAGTTGCCACCACTGGAGGCTCCCAACCACAGCCCCTCGTGGTGCAACCCGCGTGGTCTCCCAGCCACCCACAGGGGCCCCCTGAGACGACTCCGATCCTCTCCCGTGATCAGGACCAGAGGGGGGGCGGGGGGGAGGAGGGAGGGGGTTGGTGGTCTCACTGCAGGAGATAACTTGGCAATGCATCGCTGTGTCTCTGCTTTTTAAAAATAAAAATGAAAGTTATTTGTTTAAACGTTTCGCAAATATGAAAAATATGAAGCTGCGCTCCCACGCTCAGTGGCAGGGGAGGAGAGGTCCACGACGCCGATTTTACGTCGCTCCGACTGCTGCTGCTGCTGCAGTCACCGCCCCTTCCTTGTTTGTGAGACTCGGAGAGACTCGGAGAGAGAGAACGCAGCACCAGCAACACTCCCAGCAACACTCCCAGCAACACTCCCAGTGTCACTCCCAGCGTCACTCCCAACAACACTCCCCAGCGTCACTCCCAACAACACTCCCAGCGTCACTCCCAGCGTCACTCCCAGCGTCACTCCCAACAACACTCCCCAGCGTCACTCCCAGCGTCACTCCCAGCGTCACTCCCAACAACACTCCCAGCGTCACTCCCCAGCGTCACTCGCGCTCGCTGTCGCGACCTCCCCGTGACCCCCGGGGTCAGTTTGGCGTGGAGCCCCCCACCCCCGTCCGGTGGGGGTAGCGGTGAGAGAGGGGGGGGGCAGTGAGAGAGGGGGGGGCAGTGGGAGAGGGGGGGCAGTGAGAGGGGGGGCAGTGAGAGGGGGGGCAGTGAGAGGGGGGGGGCAGTGAGAGAGGGGGGGGGCAGTGGGAGAGGGGGGGGCAGTGGGTGAGGGGGGGGCAGTGAGAGAGGGGGGGGCAGTGAGAGGGGGGGTGCAGTGAGAGAGGGCACAACGCGAGGTCCAGGCCAATCGCCCCCCAATTCTCCCGATTTGTCTTTAAACAAAAGAGACGGCCAAGACGCCTGACGGCTTCCCAACCCCCCACCCCCCACCGCGCCTGTTGTAAATTTCCTGCTGTAAATTTACAAATAAACAATTCCTTCTGGGACTTGACATGAACGCACGCACGTAGCGTCTAAAATTACAACGAGTTTGTTTCCCTTCGCCCTGCCCGTGCGTGCGCGCGTGTGTGTGTGTGTCTGTGTGTTTGTGTGTCTGTGTGTGTCTGTGTGTGTCTGTGTGTTTGTGTGTTTGTGTGTGTTTGTGTGTCTGTATGTTTGTGTGTTTGTGTGTCTGTATGTACTCGCTAACAGCGCTTACCCCACAGAATATGTTTTGCTATGTTTACGTTTTATTTGATCAGGTAAGGCCCACTGAGCTGAACAGCGCTTCGTCAGAAGCGACCTGGATATCACAAATGAAAGCTCAGCGAGGTGGCCCATCATCGTGTGGAGGTGTTTAGCAGCAGACACACACTCCAAACGCGTGATTTTTCTAAATGTGGAGGGAAAAACCGGATGACCCGGAGAAAAATCCACGTGACCACGGGGAGAGAGAGAGAGACACGCAAACTCCAAATATACAGCAGCAGGTGTCAAGGTGGGGATCGAACCCACGGCCTCCTGCATACCAGGCGAGGTAGTTGACATCTCCTAGCCACCGTGGCGCCCAAAAGTCTATCAAGGCTATGCAGGGGATCTTTATCTTGCTAGGGGAGCGGTGGTGCAGGGGTTAGGGCACTGCGCTACGAGGCCCGGCTGCCCGAATCCCATTACCGGTCAAAATTAGTGAAACCGGTAACTGGGCATCCTCTAGGTCGACTCAGCCATGAATGAGGACCTGGTCACCGCCGGGCGGGCCGGGCGTGGTGCTGGTCTGCCCGCACTCTCGCCAGCGACACTTGCCCCAACAGTCTGTGAAGGCTACACGGGAGTGGGGGGGTCTTTGCGTTTGTCCACGGATTTGTCGTCGTCGTTGTTGTTGAGAAGGGAGATCGCGGGGCTCAGAGCGAATGCCCCGCGCCGTTTTATGAACTCGCTTCGTGAAGTTAAAACGCTCCAGAAGGAAAGGCGCGAGGCTGAAGTGCGGTGGAAAAACAAACACGCGCCAACGTGACCCCTCTCTTCCACACGTTGTCCTCAACATTTACTTCTCATGCGCTTGAGAGCCGGGGGGGGGGGGGGCATCGTGGAGATGTTCCAACCCTTCGCTCGTGTGCCCTAAGGTGACACGTAAAAATTTTTTTTAAAGCGCCATCTATTGCTCGCGTAATTTCCCCTGATAAATATACTGAGCGGCAGCATCGGACTGTGGCATTTCCACCGCTTGCGTGAAACAAATGCTCATTTTCGAACGTGTTGCACACGTTGACATTTTCTCCTGTGTATACAAGACATCCTGCAAAGAAGCAAAACACAGGACGCATGGTCGTAGAGGAGTGGCAAAGGGTGATGATATTCGGTGTGTTTATGTCGCGTTGATACAAGCAGGCCTCTTGCGGATGTCAGAGCCTCAATCCTACATGCAAGCTGCTTCCCGCAGGATTAACCCCCCTCCGTCTCTCTCTCTCACACGACATCGCGTCCGCTGTGGCTGTGGTTGGCACCTTTGGCCACGATCCTTTGGCCTCGAAACCTTCGGTGAATTGGGGGACGTCCTCCGCCGGTCGTCGTTCGTTCATTTGTGCCAAGGGTCGTGGTGGGCAATGTGAAACAGGGAGGTGAATACGCGGAGAGAGAAAAAATAAACCGAACTCTGTCGCGGTGTGAGGGTGACCACAGTCGCCTCGAGAACGGAACCACGGAGCGAAATCACGACTATGATGCACCACTCCCGCTACTACTGACGCGATCGCCTAGGACTCAGCCACCTACTCGATGTACAATGACAGGTCTACGTCGATGTGAGCGGCCAAAAGAATAATCATAGTGATAATTGTTTTTTTACCCTTCTATCTGGCAACAAAACTGACACCATTTTTACAAAAAGTTATGTTTTTTGTTTGCATTATGACTGCAGGTATTGTGGTCTATGTAAACATGACTCCTTGTAAAAAAGGTGTCAGTTTTGTTGCCAGATAGAAGGGTAAAAAAACAATTATATTTTTTACTGGCAAATGAGGTTCCAATGGTGGAATAATCATAGTTTGGGAAAGAAGACCTTGGCGCTCGAGATGATTGCGGCTGGCGGAAACTCAAAAGATGCCAACTTAATCATGATCTCCGGCTAACCCGCGAATTCTAGCTTACCCATGAATTCCAGCATAACTGTGAATTCTGGATTAACCGCAAATTCCGGCTTACCAATGAATTCCGGCTTACCCATGGATTCCGGCTTAACTCCGAATTCCGGCTTACCAATGAATTCCGGCTTCACCCCGAATTCTGCCTTAATCTCGAATTCCGGCTTATCCATGAATTCCACCGTCACCCCGAATTCCGGCTAGGTCCGCGATTTCCGGCTCAACGGTTGTCCGTTCGCGGGCGGTGTCCGCGGCGGGCGTGAGACTCACGTGACCACCTCCGGGATGTCGTCCTCTCGCTTGAAGCGGCCGGCCCACAGCAGCAGCTTCCTGTCCACGACGCTGGGATGGTATCCGGGCACCCTCTGCGCCACTCTGCCTGCAGGCGCGGACAACGCCACGCACGGGCGGGTGCTCTGTGAGTGGGACTCGGGGGTCGTGGGCGGAGGGCACTTTCTGCCGATGAGACATCATCACCGGTGTGTGAGCGTGCCGCCACACGTTTGAAACCATTGGGGGGTTTGACAGCAGCACGATGATGATGATGATGGGGTGGGGGGGCGGTGTTTTTACTATTTGTGTATTGTCGGGGGGGGGGGCACCAGAGGCCATCAGGGGCCGTCAGTGGCCCTCGGCCCTTGCAATTACGAACACTGCTGTTGCGTGACCGTGTTTAAATGGCTGGGTGGGGGGGGCATGACGCAGCCAATGTTAAACAAACTTTAAGCCAATTTTGAACGCTAAACAGAGTGGGTAGCGATACGATCTGCGTGCGTCTCTCGTGCACTCTGCTCTGGTGACCACCCCGCGATGTATATGAGTTCAGCCGGTGATGCAAATCGCGCAAATTATACGGACCCCGTTTAGCAATTTTACCTCCAGCCCCCTTCCGACTCTCGCAAGACACTTTCTCCGATTAGCACGGTTGGCTACGTACGGTGCGAAAGAAGGTCAGCATACATACACACACGCACGTGCGTACGTTCCTTAATGGAACCTTGCAACGATTGAACGGTGCGAACTTTGAAGACAAGTCGCCATTGGTGTTAAATATTGTTACCGGAACTCTTTCACTTGACTTCATGTTCACGGTCAGGTTTGTTTGGGGGTTAGGTCGCGGAAATGTAAATGTGTAGTAAACTCATCTCCACCCGACACAGCCAACTAGTGAGGTTTGTCACGTAACCAGAACGTGCCAATTCGTCACTAGTACAGCAACACACTGGTGTGTTGGAGAGCCAAGCCACAACATTTACAATTTGAGTACACAGTGATTACCACTAGCTTCATCAGCACGGTTGGCTACGTACGGTGCGAAAGAAGTTCAAGAGTACACACACACATACGCAGGTCCGCAGAGCTTGGGCAAGACGCGTCGCGGCTAGAAGGGATGATGACCGAGTGTCGAGAGGAATGACGGAGCAGCCAATGACTAACTACAGTATTACTGTTTACCATTTAATAATCACTATTACTGTTTACCATTTAATAATCACTATTAGTATTTACCATTTGTATTCTACCAGGTAAGACCCACTGAGCCATGTGGCTGTTCTTTCAGAGGCGAGCTGGGCTATCGCAAATGATAGCCCAACGAAGTGGCTTGTCATCGTGTAGAAATGTACTGCAGACAAATACTGGAAACGCGTGATGTAGGATTCTAAATGTGGAGGGGAAATCTGGAGGACCCGGAGAAAATGCTGCGCGACCACGGGGAGAGAGAGAGACACACAAACTCCAAATACACAGCAGCAGCAGGCGTCAGGGTCGAGATCGAACCCACGACCTCCTGTATACCAGGCGAGGTAGTTAACATCTCCTAGCCACGTGATGATGATGAGAGAGAGATACGCAAACTCCAAATATACAGCAGCAGCAGGCGTCAGGGTCGAGATCGAACCCACGACCTCCTGTACACCAGGCGAGGTAGTTAATATCTCCTAGCCACCGTGATGATGATGAGAGAGAGATACGCAAACTCCAAATATACAGCAGCAGCAGGCGTCAGGGTCGAGATCGAACCCACGACCTCCTGTACACCAGGCGAGGTAGTTAATATCTCCTAGCCACCGTGATGATGAGAGAGAGAGACACGCAAACTCCAAATATACAGCAGCAGGCGTCAGGGTCAAGATCGAACCCACGACCTCCTGTATACCAGGCGAGGGAGTTAACATCTCCTAGCCACCGTGATGATGATGAGAGAGAAAGACACGCAAACTCCAAATACACAGCAGCAGGCGTCAAGGTCGAGATCGAACCCACGACCTCCTGTATACCGGACGAGGTAGTTAATATCTCCTAGCCACCGTGATAATGATGAGAGAGAGACACGCAAACTCCAAATATACAGCAGCAGGCGTCAGGGTCGAGATCGAACCCACGACCTCCTGTACACCGGGCGAGGTAGTTAACATCTCGCCAGCGCAGTGACAACGCGCCCGCGAGTACCACCACGGTGGAGGAGACGGAGCGATGCTGACATCCACTCGTGGTGCGGGGCACAAGCGCCGAGTGGATCGTTGCATCGCCGGATCGTGAGAGGTGGCGACGACTTGGGGGTGATGCCTTCATCCAGCAGCCGATTCAGCGTGGCTGATGATGACGACGACGACGATAAAGATGATGACGACGATGACGACGACGCGCAAAGATTCGACAAAATGGTTCGGGATGGAGATTCAAGGACAGAGGACATTGAGACGAGACACCCTGGGAGAAGGGCAACGGAGACCGATCAGAGCCTCTCTCCTTACCGTGAACATCATCGTCCCCACCACCTCCTCCTTGCCTGCAGCTGCTGGCCATGGCCCTGGCTGCCTCGCCGGCACTCATCGTCGTCGGCGCTGGTGCAGGTGTCACGGGCCAGGGGCCCGGGAGGACCCCCAGGGGGGCCGACTCGCCCTGAAGCCGCTTGCGAGCCACCGTCGATAGGACGCGGAACAGCATCGTGCTGGTGCTGGTAGTGGTGCTGGTGGTGATGGTAGTGGTGGTGGTGCTGGTGGTAGTGGTGGTGGTGGTAGTGGTGGTGGTGATGGTGGTGCTGGTGGTGCTGGTGGTGGTGGTGCTGCTCGTGGTGGTGATGGTGGTGGTGGTGGTAGTGGTGGTGGTGCTGGTGGTGGTGGTGATGGTGGTGGGGCTGGTGGTGCTGGTAGTGGTGGTGGTGCTGCTAGTGGTGGTGGTGCTGCTGCTGCTGCTACTAGTGGTGCTGCTGCTGGTGGTGCCGCTACTGGTGGTGGTGCTGGTGGTGGTGCTGCAGCTGCTGCTGGTGCTGCTGCTACTGGTGATGGTGGTGCTGCTGGTGGTGGTGATGGTGGTGCTGCTACTGGTGGTGATGGTGCTGGTGGTGCTGCTGCTGCTGCTCGAGAGAGAGAGCGCTCAGTGCAGTCGGGTCGGTCCGCGCGCCGGGTGGAGACGTTTGTAGGGGGCCTGGGAGGCGGGGCGTGTGGGTGGGGCGGTGTCAGTCGATGAGTGGTGGGTGGGTGAGTGTTGGGTGGGTGGGTGAGTGGGTGGGTGGGAGAGTGTTGGGTGGGTGGGTGAGTGTTGGGTGGGTGGGTGAGTGGGTGGGTGAGTGTTGGGTGGGTGGGTGAGTGGGTGGGTGGGAGAGTGTTGGGTGGGTGGGTGAGTGGGTGGGTGGGAGAGTGTTGGGTGGGTGGGTGAGTGTTGGGTGGGTGGGTGAGTGTTGGGTTTGTGGGTGGGTGAGTGTTGGGTGGGTGGGTGAGTGTTGGGTGGGTGAGTGGTGGGTGAGTGTTGGGGCGTTGAGCCTTAACGTGAAGTCCAGAGTCAACCCAGACGCCAACGAGCTTTCATCATGCTGACATGATGAAAGACAATTTAAAGCTTTCGTGACTTCAGGGATTCATCTTCTTGGTTCTTTCGGTAAAGTCATGTAGAATGTAAATAATAAAATAATAAATAATAAAACATAATAAAATAATTCTCACGACGTTTCGGCCACAACGCAAGCAGCCGTCCTCAGGTGGAGAACAGGTCTGTCGAGGAGATTCTGATGAAAGACATTGCCAGCTATCAGGCTTGCCACTTTTTCCACAGCTCAAACCGGGACAAACACCGGGGGGTGTTTCGAGTCGCCCTTTCCTGTAATGTCAAAAGTGTGCAGTCGGGAATACACTTCAGAATCAGAATACACATCTGTAATTATACTAAAGGAATCAGATGAGCTATAAAGCTTTTTATTCACAGATGTCCAGTCGGGGCACGGGGTAAGAATGTAACAACAACAAACAGTGCAACACACACGATACGAGTGCAAAGTACAAGAAAGGTGAACAAATCACCCAACACACAAACACATACAACACTAAACTATCCCCAGCCTTACTCTGTGGTTCTTTCGGTAAAGTCACGTGGGTATAAAATAAAATAAATCACGACGTTTCGGGCGCAACACAAGCGTCCGTCATCAGGTGGGAAAGCGTGGCCTGCTGCTGATGATGGGCGCTTGTGTTGCGCCCGAAACGTCGTGATTTATTTTATGTTTCTACCTACGTGACTTTACCGAAAGAACCAAAGAGTATATGGCTTCCTGCAATCACGAAAGCTTCAAATCAAGATCATCGCCATCCTACCAGGCAAAGCCCACCGAGGTATTAACCTATTTTTCTAAATCGACCTGGTCACAAATTATAGCTCAACAAAGCGGCGAATTATTTGGACACTTATCGCAGAAAAATAATTGAAATAGTTCAAACGCACGTTTCTAAATGTGGAGGGGAAACGTGGAGGACCCGGAGAAAAAAAATCCACGCCACCACGGGGAGAGAGAGAGACGCAAACTCTAAATATACAGCAGCAGCAGGCGTCAGGGTCGGGATCGAACCCACGACCTCCTGTATACCTGGCGAGGTAGTTAACATCTCCTAGCCACCGTGATGATGGTGATGATGAGAGAAAGAACACGCAAACTCCAAATAGACAGCAGCAGCAGCAGGCGTCAGGGTCGGGATCGGGCTCGCAACCTCCTGTATGCCAGGCGAGGTAGTTAACATCTCCCCACAATACCGGCCCCGTATTTCGGTACAAATCAATTCCCTGCCACCCGAACACAGACGCGAATTCACGAACTATAAAACAGGTGGCAACCCTATCAGCATTATACAATTCATCATAAAAAAAAGATGATCTCGCTTTGTGCGGTAGTAGTAGATGCGTTGCACAAAAAGGGCGCACAAAGCAAAATCGCAGAAGGCTGCCGAGTAGCGCACAAAGTTCACAAACAAAATGTAGGCCCGCGTCTGAGCGCCAGCCACACGTGCGTGACTTGAGAATCAGAATCTTGTATTTATCCTGGAGGAATCCGAAACAGAGGTTTTTTTGGGTTAGATCGCGTAAATAACTAAATATAAATGCACCCTCAATTCATAGCTGTCCACCCATATAGTTTACCCCGTATTCTTGTACAGGGAAATTGGGTTTTCAGGTCCTTACTGCGTACAGCCGTTTCAACACGGGCAACATTTTATTTTGTCTATTTGTTTGTGGTTCTCCCTTGTGATGGGGCTTTGTAGGATGAACGTTGAGATTTATAAGGGCACGGGGTGACCAATAAGGACTGAATTGGTCTGTAATGAGGTAGGGCACTGACAAGGGGTTGACAGGTATGGTCTGCACCAACCCAAACTTGGTAATGGGGCGGTGTTAGTGCATAGGTGAGTGTGTGTGTGTCAGGGGAGCGGTGGTGCAGCGGTAAGCCACACTACTGCTGGGTCTTCTTCTTTGTCGTGTCTCATGTCCCAACAACCTTCGTGGTCTTTTCCCAATATTCTGCACAGTCCACCGCTCCTGGGCGAGCGCTGGGTGTGTGGGAGAGATGGGGAGTGGGAGAGATGGTGGGTCCTGGGTGAGTGGGAGAGATGGTAGATGAGTGGGAGGGATGGTGGGTCCTGGGTGAGTGGGAGAGATGGTAGATGAGTGTGAGAGATGGTGGGTGAGTGAGTGGGAGGGATGGTGAGTGAGTGGGAGAGATGGTGGGTGAGTGGGAGGGATGGTGGGTCCTGGGTGAGTGGGAGAGATGGTGGATGAGTGTGAGAGATGGTGGGTGAGTGAGTGGGAGAGATGGTGAGTGAGTGGGAGAGATGGTGGGTCCTGGGTGAGTGGGAGAGATGGTGGATAAGTGGGAGAGATGGTGAGTGAGTGTGAGAGATGGTGAGTGAGTGGGAGAGATGGTGGGTGAGTGGGAGAGATGGTGGGTGAGTGGGAGAGATGGTGGGTGAGTGGGAGAGATGGTGGGTGAGTGGGAGAGATGGTGGGTGAGTGGGAGAGTGGGAGAGATGGTGGGTGAGTGTGAGGGATGGTGGGTCCTGGGTGAGTGGGAGAGACGGTGGGTGAGAGAGATGGTGGGTGAGTGTGAGAGATGGTGGGTGAGTGTGAGAGATGGTGAGTGAGTGGGTGTGACGAGGACGCAGTTGAACCGGGTCACGTTGAGAGTGAGGTCCACGTGGCAGAGAGCGATGGAAGGAGGGCATCGCGGACAGCAGCGGAGCACGCGAACAGCGACAACAGTCGTTCCAGTTTGGGGGGGAGTCCTCGGCTGCCCAGAGGGGGGCGTTGCGTCTCCTGTCGAGCTGGAATCTTCTCGTCCGGGCAAATGTCCCGAGCCACACCGCCCGGGGGCGACATTGCTCCAGGAATTGACACAAAAGTTCGAAATTCAAACGTTGAACTTCTTTGGCGTCGCGCGTAGCAAACCGCGCTGATCGGAAGGACAACGAACTAAACACCAAGAAAGCAAACTCTTTGGTTCTTTCGGTAAAGTCACGTAGGTAGACAAATAATAGATCACGACGTTTCGATCGTAACACAAGCAATCGTCATCAGGTGGGACAACCACAGCAAGAAACAACTAATCTATTATTTTTATACCTACGTGACTTTACCAAAAGAACCAAAGAGTATGGATTCCTGCAGTCAAGTTTCAAGTTTTCAAGTTTATTTATTAGGTATAGCCCTGTGAGCCATTCAGCTCTTGAATCGGGTGCAACCGCAACAAACAAAAAAACATGAACAAGAAAACATCTTAAAGTGACTATGTGCAAACAGAAAATCCAAGAAAAGACAGCAAAATATTGCAGAAAAAGCACCGTACACCAACACTGTGTGCAAATATCCCAGTGGGATGCAAGCCATCAGTGATGATTTCTACAGCTGGTTCTGCTGCCACACGTTACTGCTACCGCCGCGGTCACCCGCTTGTTGTGCGAGAAACACAATTTGATTGATTTCAAGTTTTCGTGACTGCAGCCAATTTTTTTTATTGCTGTGGTTTTCCCACCTGATGATGATTGCTTGTGTTGCAATCGAAACGTCGTGATTAAATTAATTTAGTTTTATACCTACGTGACTTTACCGAAAGAACCGAAGAGTATTTGATTTGTTACTTTCTAATTTTGTAATTAAAAAAATCTCGAAAAGTTCGTCTCCGGTGTTAATTTCTCTCACCTTATGAAATGAAACCGATTGACATTGACTCTGCCTCTTTGTATTTACACTGTGACTATCCTTGCTATACAGTACATATACACACTACCTGTACTACCCGGCTTCGCCCGGGACTTGGATCCACCACGCCCTGCCGCCTTTATCTCCCCAGTGGCAATGTTCACACAACACAACAGTTATTTGTTTGAGGCTGAGTCGACCTAGGGGAGGCCCATGACCGGTTCAAATAATCGTCACCGGTGGTGGCCGTGAGCGGGAATCGAACTCGGGTCGCCGGGTTCGTAGCGCAGCGTAGCGCTAACCACTACACCCACCGCTCCCCCCCCCCACACACACAGAGACAGCGCGCTAACCACTACACCCACCACTCCCCCCCACACACACAGCGCGCTAACCACTACACTACCGCTCCCCCCACACACACGCACAGACAGCGCGCTAACCACTACACCACCGCTCCCCCACACACACACACAGCGCACTAACCACTACACTACCGCTCCCTCCCCCACACACACACAGCGCGCTAACCACTACACTACCGCTCCCCCCACACACACAGACAGGCAGCGCGCTAACCACTACACCACCGCTCCCTCCCCCACACACACAGCGCGCTAACCACTACACTACCGCTCCCCCCACACACACGCACAGGCAGCGCGCTAACCACTACACCACCGCTCCCCCCACACACACACACAGCGCGCTAACCACTACACTACCGCTCCCCCCACACACACACACAGCGCGCTAACCACTACACTACCGCTCCCCCCACACACACGCACAGGCAGCGCGCTAACCACTACACCACCGCTCCCCCCACACACACGCACACACAGCGCGCTAACCACTACACCCACCACTCCCACCAACACACAGACAGCGCGCTAACCACTACACCCACCACTCCCC